AGGTAGATTTTTGGGAAATAGTTGGAGATAGTAAGCTAGAAGAAAGAGCTTCGGCAGAGGAAATAGGAAAATTCCGAGAAGTTATAAGGAAGTATGGAGCGGTGTTTTCGTCCGATCCCGGCTGTATGTTTTTGGTCGAAATGGATATTAAATTGTTGGATGGAAATGGATATTAAATTGTTGGATGAGACTCCAGGCCTAATCGAATGTCGGCGAGACAAACCGACATCCTAAAAGAGGAAATTAGGCGGTTGCTTGAGTTAGGAGTCATAGAAGTCGGGCAATCTGATTATGCTTCGCCTATGATCTTAGTAGAGGTCCCAGGTAAAGATCCTCGTCCTTGTATAGACTACAGAAAATTAAATTCAAAAACTATGACCGAATTTTTCCCTCTTCCCAATATTGAAGAAGTGGTAGAAAAAGTCAGCGCAGCTCCATTTATCACAATCATGGATCTAACCAAAGGATACTTCCAGATACCACTCACAGAGCGTGCACGGAGGTATGCCGCATTTGTGACGCCTTTTGGATCTTTCATCCCGAAGAAAATGATGTTTGGGCTTTTAAATGCGCCTTTCTATTTTTGTAAATTGATCGCTCAAGTTTTAGGAGGGCTGGACAATTTTGTTCTACCGTATATTGACGACATCGCAGTCTTTTCGCCGACTTGAGACAGGCATATGAAGGATTTGGATGTGGTTTTAGGTCGCCTTCAGGAGGCTAAATTGACTGTTAAGCCCTCGAAATGCAAATTCGCACAAGACCATGTGAAATTTCTGGGTCATGAAGTAGGGTCTGGGAAAAGGTCGCCTAGTGAGGCCAAGATTCAAGCAATCAGAGATTTTCCGATCCCCACTACTAAAACACAGATACGTAGCTACCTTGGTACTGTGGGCTACTATGCAAGGTACATAAAAGACTACGCCCGTATTGCGGCACCTTTGACAGACGGTTTGAAGGGGAAAAACAAAAAAGAAAAAGTGATTTGGACAAAAGAGTGCGACGAGGCTTTCAATAAACTGAAGACCAAACTAGTAAAAAGTCCGGTTTTATTTGCACCAGATTATTCTAAAGAATTTATTGTGCAGACAGATGCCAGCTTATATGGTGCGGGTATTGTGTTGTCTCAAATTCAGGATGGGGAGGAACACCCTATGCTGTATCTTAGCAAAAGGTTTACTAAAGCGGAGCGAAATTATAGCACCATTGAAAGAGAACTAGCGGCCATTATTTATGGACTGAAGAAACTAAATCATTACTTAGACGGACAAAAATTCAAGATCCAGACGGATCATAATCCGTTGACTTTTTAAACAAAATGATGGGATCAAATTCTCGTTTGACTCGCTGGGTATTGTGTCTCCAACAGTACAACTTTGAAATTGTTCATAGGCCAGGCAAATTACACGGTAATGCAGATGGTTTGAGTCGTGCCCTAGTCTAATGACTGAATATCACTAGTGGATACAAAGTAAGGTAAAAAGTAATGAAAATGGGTGAAAATGATTTTTGTAGAGTTTTGGAATTATATTTTTGTAGATTCAAAATTGTTTGCATCGTGTGTTTCATTTTCAAAAAAATTGTTAGAATTAAATGTTTTATCTTAAGTATTAGTATTGTGTAAAATTTGAGGAATGTGCTTTGTGTCAGGCATGTTCCGTACTTGTAACTTTATCGTTTGGCTAACGGAGCACTTTCCCGTCGCATTTTTGTTATTGTGCATTTATTATGTTAATCTGTTACATCTGGTAACGATAAATAATGTAAAGTTTAGTCTCTGAGAATTGGCAACTGAGATATATGCTTCTTCTACGCAGTAGAACGCTAACGCAACATGTATTCGCTGAATTAACGCTGTCTCTGTTCTCTATAGAATAAATAATTAAATCATATTGTTAATTACGCATCTCATTTCTTACTAATCCAAACAACGCTCACTACATCGCACATAAGTGGTCCGTCGAGCCGTGAACCTATGGATTAAACGCTATTGGTTTGAAACCAAAAGTAAACAATGACGACGGATATCGCAACGTTAAAAAAATCGCAAACGCGGAAATTTTAAAGAACAATTAACAAGGATTGCGAATGCTGTAACAGCAGCAGAAAAGGAAAATGAACTAGATATCGCGCAGCTACAAGCTCATTTGGATACAGTGGTAAATATTCATGAAAAATTCGAACTGCTGAAAAATGACTATTACAGAATACTCGAGGATGATGAATTTGAAGAAGTGGAAGCTTTGCTGGCTCAGGTGGATGAGGATATTCAAAAATTAGAGGTAAGTCTAAAAACCTCTATTAATAAACTTAAAAATAACAGCTACGAATGTGTAACAAAAAAAAAAAAATGCTGACAGCCCTACACACGAATGTTATTCCGTATGTAATGATCAGTTTAAAGAGGGCTTTAGTAAAACTGCCAAAAATTCTACTTCCGAATTTTAGCGGAAAATTTGAAGAATGGAATTTGTTTAAGACTCAGTTTAATAGTTTAATCCAAGAGAATCCAGAACTTTCCGAAAATGAAAAGCTCCATTACTTACGCGCGGCTTTAAAAGGAGAAGCTAAATCATTAGAAACACCAGACGATAACTTTTCTTCACTTTTTAAAGCTTTAGAACAAAGATACGAGAATAAAAGAATAATTGTAGATTATCATATTAAAAATATTCTAAAAATGCCATCAATAAAACATGAATCTGTTAAAGAGCTTCGCATCATGTAGAAAATACTAAGAAAAATCTTAGATTTCGCAAGAGATAAACTATCGAATGTTTTATTATTAAATGTTATTCTTGATAAATTAGACCGCGAAACACGAAAACAGTATGAACTTACACTAAAAGATAACGAAGTGCCCGATTTTGATACATTTTTGGAATTCTTAGAGAGAAGCTATCAAATTTTAAATAGTATCAGTGCTAATATTCCATCTAAATTTAATTCGGAACGATCCAAGTCTCTTTTGGTTAAATCTAATAAATCGCCTAAATTGTGTATCGCTTGTAAATCTCAATCTCATGCGTTGTATCACTGCGATAAATTCAAACAGATGAAATTATCTGAACGAGTGAGTTTGGTGAAAAAACATCGCCTTTGCAATAATTGTCTGAGCGAATTTCATTTATTATCTCAGTGTAAATCGAATAGTGTTTGTTATATTTGTAAGAAAAAATCCGATCATCATACATTGTTGCATGCATATTCATCGCCGATGACAAGGTCCAGACATCACGGGGGCGACAGAGCTTCAGGAACCAAATAAACAAAAAACATAAACGCGTCAAGGTCAATGGATTCGCATTCGCCAGAAAATGCTCGTATTTCTTTCTTCTCAAACGGAAATAGTAAAAGTATTTTGATAAATACTGTAATAATTTATGTCAAAGATGCAGCTGGTGAAAGCAAACCGTTGAGGGCTATTCTAGATTCCGGCCTCTGAAAGTTCATTTATGACAACAAGAGCAGCGGAAGCGCTGAGTTTGAAGAAAGAAAAAATAAACATTCCGATAAGTGGATTAAATGACACATCGCTAAATATTACAAAAAAGGTTTCAGCTTACCTATCGAATGAAAGTAATGATTCACACTGGGAAATTGACTTATTAATTGTGCCTAACATAACTAATTTCACACCCCCAAAAGAATTAATGTTTCGAATTTTTACATTCCAAGGAAAATAAAACTTGCTGACCCATTATTTTTCGTTCCTCAAAAGGTCGATGTTCTTTTGGGTGCTGAATTATTCTTCTCAGTTTTGGGAGATGATAAAATAAAATTGGGAGACAATTTGTTCTTGCAATCAAGCTGTTTTGGATACCTTGTTTCGGGTAGTATTTCAGACAATAATTTGTGTTATACACCAAAAACACTGTTTCTTGTCTAAAAATTTAGAAACTCTCAATAAAACCCTCACAAGCTTCTGGGAAATCGAAGAAGTAGAACCACGCAAAACTTGTAATGACGAATTAAATTATTGCAATGAACACTTCGCGAAAACACATTATAGGAAACCAGACGGTAGATATGTGGTTGAAATGCCACTCAAGCCAGAATCTTCGGAAACAATGTTAGGAAATTCTAAAGAAATCGCATTGAAAAGACTAGATCAGTTGTGGACACGCTTGGAACGGGATCCTACTTTGAAAACACTTTACGTAGAATTTCTTAATGAATATGAAAATTTTCATCATATGGAGGAGGTGAAAGAAGATATACTTATAGATGACGGGTATTATCTACCACACCACGGCGTATTGCGTCCCACCAACAAAACAACTAAACTACGTGTGGTCTTTAATGCGAGTTCGAAAACTTCTAGCGGGCAGCATTCCTTAAATGATTTATTGTGCAAAGGAGGAGTGCTTCAAAAAGACCTCTTCTCGATTCTAATTAGATTTAGAAAACATATTTTCGCCTTTACTGCTGATATCAAACAGATGTTCAGAATGAAGTTAATCCTTCGCAAACTAAGCTTCAAAAAATCGTATGGAAAGACAGTAAATTCGCACGGGTTTAAGTTTACCAGTTACGAACTGTAACGTATGGAACCGCGTCTGCCCCATACTTAGCCACTAAAGTTTTACAACAACTTGCCCTAGATGAGGGAAAGGACTTTCCTTTAGCTTCAAGAACAGTCCTTCAAGATTTCTACATGGACGATTGCCTTTCTGGTTCTTCAGACATCAACGAGTTAGAAAAACTGATGTTAGAGTTAAGGCAGCTTCTCCAAAGGGGAGGAATGACTTTCCACAAGTGGTGCAGTAACAAGGCACCAACTACCGAACTGCAGGAGTTCACGCTTGATCGAAATTCTGAAGAAATAATAGTTCAAAACGCTAGGAATGTTTTGGAATAGTTTAAGCGATTCCTTTACATATAAAGTAAGCATAAGCGCAAATTCTAATTTCACCAAAAGAGATGTACTATCTCAAATAGCACGCATCTATGATCCACTCAGACTCTTGGGTCCTGTTATTGTTAAAGCAAAAATCTTTATGCAACAATTATGGTTGCTTAAGCTAGACTGGAATGAAACACTACCTCCACTTGTTGCCGAACAGTGGGAAAACTTCATTAAAACACTACCACATTTGGAACACATTCATGTACCAAGATGTTTTTTAAAAACCGATACCAATTTGGTAGTACTCCAAGGTTTCTCAGACGCATCTTCAAAGGCTTACGGTGCAGTGATATACATCCAAACTGTGTCCAGCACCGGTGAAGTAAACAGTACACTTCTCTGCAGCAAATCACGTGTTGCTCCTACAAAATGCATTACAATTCCACGTCTGGAGCTTTGTGCATGCCTTCTTCTCGCAAAACTAACGGAAAAGGTCCTAACAGCTGTTAAACTTCAAATAGACTCTGTGAAATTGTACTCTGATTCTACAATAGCACTAGCATGGATCAAGACTCCTTCAAATCTGCTTAAGACGTTTGTAGGCAACCGAGTATCACAAATCCAGCAGATATCTAAAGACTTCGAATGGCATCATATACCTTCAGAGTTCAACCCAGCAGACATGATCTCCAGAGGACTGGAAGTTAAAGCACTTGCCGCTTGTGAACTTTGGTGGAAAGGACCAGATATTTCAAAATTAAATTTACCTATTCCTCAGACTTTGCAAACTCCCATTAGTTCAACTGACAAACTTTATAGAGATGAACTCAAGACTGTTTCAAAAGTTACATTAAGTTTAAATAATGACTCTTTTTTCGATAACTTACTTAATATTAGTAACAACTTTCATAAACTAATTAGAATTTTAGCCTTTATTTTTAGATTTTGCAGAAGGTGTAAATCTCCAAAAACGCATACAGGAGAGCTCACGTCCGAAGAATATGAAAGAGCAGAAAATTATTTGATAAAACAGGTAAAGTATTTTCCTGCGGAGATATCAGCTTTAGAAAGGGGATCTTCAGTTCCACCTACAAGTAAGCTTAAATTTTTTAATCATTTTTTAGCTCCATCAAGCGGATTAATAAGAGTTGGTGGTAGACTTTCACATTCAGATTTAAATTTCAATCGTAAACATCCGGTTATTCTGCCAGCTGGAAATAAATTAGTAACTCTAATATTTCAATACTATCACAAACGATATTTTCACGTAGGCCCTCAAGCCCTACTAAATACTGTTCGTTTTAAATATTGGCCACTTGGTGGCAGAAGTACAGCACGAAAAGTCGTCCATGAGTGTTTAGAATGCTTTAAGAATAAACCAATTGTTGCAATCCGGATTAATAAGAGTTGGTGGTAGACTTTCACATTCAGATTTAAATTTCAATCGTAAACATCCGGTTATTCTGCCAGCTGGAAATAAATTAGTAACTCTAATATTTCAATACTATCACAAACGAGATTTTCACGTAGGCCCTCAAGCCCTACTAAATACTGTTCGTTTTAAATATTGGCCACTTGGTGGCAGAAGTACAGCACAAAAAGTCGTCCATGAGTGTTTAGAATGCTTTAAGAATAAACCAATTGTTGCAATCCAGATTATGGGAGATCTTCCCGCAGAACGAGTAACGCCTAGTTCCCCATTTTTAAATGTAGGAATAGATTTATGTGGACCCTTTGAAATTAAATACAAAGGTCAGAGAAAGGTACTTTTTTCAAAAAATTTATGTAGCTATATTTGTATGTATGGCGACTAAAGCTATTCACATGGAATTTGTGTCAGATCTTACTTCAGCAGCTCTAATCGCTGCTTTAAAGAGATTTTTTGCACGACGCGGCAAGAGTTCAATAATTTTTAGCGGTAACGCAACGAACTTCACTGGAGCTTCCACAGAGTTAAAACGTTTATATAAATTAATGTTAAACAGTGAGGACATTTCGAACCTGTTAGCCTCAAAAGGTATCAGGTGGAAATTTTTGCCTCCCAGAGCACCCAATTTTGGCGGCATTTGGGAGGCGGGTGTAAAGGCCTTCAAGTACTATGTAAAGATAGTCGTAGGCTCCGCTAAGTTAACTTTAGAAGAATTTCTAACAGAAATAGTTCTAATCGAGGGCATCCTCAATTCGCGACCACTCTCATCCTTATCTACTGATACAGATGATTTTCAAGCATTAACTCCTGGACATTTTCTGATAGGAAAACCGATAAATGTCATACCAGAACAAAATTTAATTGATAAAAGAGATAATCTTCTAAGTAGGTGGCAGAGAACTCAAAAATTAGTTCAAAACATTTGGAAATGCTGGCAAAACAGCTATCTAAGCCATCTGCAACAAATCTCTAAGTGGGTGCTTAAAAAGCCAAATATAACTCCTGGCATGCTCATTTTACTAAAAGACTCTCAACTTCCCATTTGCAATTGGTCTTTGGGTCGAATTATTAAGGTGATCCCAGGTCCTGACGGAAATGTCAGAGTCGTAGACGTACGTACTCCAAAGGGTGTTTTCAGAAGACCAATTTCGAAAATTTGTATTTTACCTATTATAGATAACGATATTTCTAGTGTTGGATATTTTTTTTTGTTTAATTGAATTATTAATTAGTGTATTTGTTGTATGTTGTGTCATTATATGTTTGTATTCATACTTTTTCCTTTAAATTTGAGATAATGTAACATTTCAACGCCGGGCGGGATGTTCCGTACTTGTAATTTTATCGTTTGGCTAACGGAGCACTTTCCCGTTGCATTTTTGTTATTGTGCATTTATTATGTTAATCTGTTACATCTAGCAACGATAAATAATGTAAAGTTTAGTCTCTGAGAATTGGCAACCGAGATATATGCTTCTTCCACGCAGTAGAACGCTAACGCAACACGTATTCGCTGAATTAACGCTGTTCCTGTTCTCGCTAAGAATAAGTAATTAAATCATATTGTTAATTACGCATCTCATTTCTTACTACGCTAAACAACGCTCACTACATCGCACAAGGCACATATCAGGAGTAGTTTAAATTATTTTTGTATTTGTGCGGTTATTTTATCTAGAAATAAGTGCAGGGTAATGTAACTGGCTACTCTATTTTCACTTAAACGGTTACCACTTGTGTTTTGAAAGCAGTGAAATGTATTTAGAATTTTTCCTTCCATAGTCAAAATTTCTTTATGAGGGGAGGAGTTGTGATAAGGTCACATAAAAGAAGAGGAGACTGAAGATTATTATGGACAAGGATGTCTCGTGAGAATAAGATGAAAATTATTATTTTTTAACTTACAAACACGTTTTCAATAGTTGTTAAAAATACTCTTTATTAAAATAATTAAATCGTTGGCAATGTTAAAAACGCAAGCTCGAGAGCCACGAATTGCTCACCCAGGTAAAATGTATAGAATTTGATTTTTGGAAAAGATAGGTTTTTCTCCGCAGAATTGTATGTAGCCATTTTTTTTAGCATTCAATAAATTTTATTATGCTGTGTTTTGTTTTCAACCTGATGTCACAACCCAGGGTTTGCATAGCAGTTTCGGCCACTACACTACATCCTCTTTTAAGAGATTCAAAGTCAGTGATGTCTCCTCTGACACATAACAAAATTCCGAAAATGGATGAATGCAGTACAATGAAATTACATTTGACAAAAGATAGCTTAATAAATACATATGAGGTTGCAGAATTCACAGGCCAGGAAAAAAACTCATCACTTTGTACAGATGATTTTAGAAGGTGACTGTCATCATGGTGACTTCATGTTTAAAAATGCAGACCTTTTCATTTTCATCTCAGAGATACTTAGCTTGGGTTTACTCCAGAGATAAAAAAAAACATGTGTTAATGGCCCTGTGCTTACCAACATACATATTTCTTTAAAGACTTATATTTTTAATTTTTTCCCAATTTGGAGTAAACTGTTTTAAAAAGATTCCCCCCCCCCCCAAAGCATCCATTTTCTATTTAAAAATCTATTCTGTGTTTAAATTGCACTGTAATATTTATTTATTAGACTCTATAATGTGAATTTTAATTAAGACATTTGGTTACACTGAAAGCGATGTTAAAGATGCTTAGTTTCATATTTTAATCCTAAATTTCAACAATATTCCATTATGTGTCTACTCGAGCAATGAAAGCATAATTTTTTCCTTGAGAAATATTTGTCAGCAATCTCGGCCACAAGCTGGAATGTATTAAGAATCATATATGAATTATTTAAAAATAAAAAAATTGGCATCTAAAAGTATTCCATTTTTGGAGAATGACCCATCTACATCAGAGAAAATCCATTACTAACTGCAAAATTTTGAAAAAACTATTGTTTTCTTATTCAGGCAGTTTCGAGGTTAATTGTGAAATTCTGTGGCCATAAAAATTAGTTTTTAGTTTTGAGAAAATGTTTGCAGCTATACAGGATTCACACTAAAATTTCTCGAGGGAAATCCACACAATACTTGGCAATCATTGAAATAATAATGCATAATTAAATATTAATTAAACTTTTTAACTTATCATATTTTGGTAAGGTAATCACTGTGGTTATTTAAGATCAAAGTTTGCACTTATGCAGACAGTAACTCAATGTATTTATCCTTTATTTTTTCAATTTAGAAAAATTAATTTAGTAAATTGTTTCCCCCTGCAGAAAAGCAATGTGTTTTACTTTATATAACAATCAAAAAGTAAGAATAAAACTCTCAAATTATTACCTCTTACTTAATAATATTAAGAGGTAATAATTGAAAGGTCTAATGTGGATTTTGATATAAAATTGCTTTCTTAAGACTTTTTTTTCACATATTTTGAAGGCAGGCAGCATTAAAATAAGAACTATAACTACTAAATTAAAAAAACCTCATGTGTACACCATGATTTCCTTATATGGAATATTAAATTATATGCATTTTTTCCTGCAATTCATTTAAACTTATTGATTTGAATTAAATCTACTTTATTGATAGCGCATAAACCACAATAGAATATATGCAGTTTTTAAAATTCACTATATTTACCATAGCACCACTCTGGTGCTAGATTCAGTTAAGAGCATCTCATTCATTTTATAACTCAGAATTCACTGGAGGTGCACAACTTCATATTATAGCAGTAATAAATACAAAATTTCAACGTTTTGAGGCTACTCATTTTAAGTTATGCAAGATGCATACGTACGTACTATGATTTATTTGCAGAAAAAGAGTACATTATTCTGTTCTCACACAGATGTCATGCAAAAACATCATTAATTTGCATTTGATAGAGATCAAAACGAATATTTTCATTTAATTATGTTACCCAGAATTTTTCGTGATTATAATACTGCCTTTACTTCGTACAAGGAAGTAAAAATAGTAGAACCTGAAATGAGCAAATAACTCAGGACTCTTAAATCTCCTACGCTTCAAGAAAGTATTTATGGAAAAAATAACCACAAAAAATTTTAAATAATAGAAATAAAAATATTTAAGGGGGGAAAAAAAACTCAAAAGCTTTTTATATTATGCCCAAAGGGGCCTTTTTTTCAACAATTTGTGTGTTCCCTTTATTTATTAAATATGTTCTTCACACTTATACCATAAAATTAAATTCAACAGCAATATGACAAAATATTTAAAAGAACAGATCTTAAGAATTTCCCACACAGTCTCATGAGCTGGAGATAAACATGTTTTTTTTTTTCCTTTTGAGTTGCCATTGCTCACCTTGAAACAACCGAGTTTCTTAATCAAAAACTCATAAATGCTTTACAAAATATGAAATAGACACTAAAACAAATTCCAAATTTGGGCTTCCAAATGCCCATATTGGAGTGGAGACGTATGTTATTCAAAATTTTAAGGCTCTAGGTACCGTTGTTTTATAATTATGCGAGAAACAAACATACAATTATGCAGATTCTTTCTTACTTAACTTCTTTAAATATAATACAGGGCAATAATATTTGGTGGCAGCAATTTGAAAAGTGATTTGCCGTTTATAGTGAATTAACCCAAAATGCCAAAACTAAATTAACAGCTTAAAAATTTTTCTTTCCCTCTTTTGTCAATACATAAAATACACACTGAGTGAGCAAAATATCTGAGACACTCATTTTTTTCTGACACGGACTGATCAGCTACTGACAATGATGTAATTGCCTGAAATTGCACATATAAAGCATGCTTATCTTGAGAAGAAAGTGTGAAATACTGTGATTAAAATATCCAAGACAAAAGATTTTCATGACTTTAAATGAGGCATAACCATCAGTGCAAGAATCTTCCATCTCTGAAATGGGTATTATTCTAAACTTTTCTTGTATAATAGCACCTCTGGTATTTAAAGTAAGGGGCACACTGGTTGTGAAAAGCTGGGGCACGAATAGAGAAAAAGGCGCCTGGCACAAACCATTCGCATTAGCATAAGGGCAACAACACAATATATAGCAGCTCAACACAATTGAAACGTATCACAAAGCACATCTGAACGTACTTCATGTTGAACATCAAGGATGCCTATGATATCACTGATAAATAAGAAATCGCAGCTATTGTGGGCTAAGAAACATCAAAACTGGATCTCATATGACAAGAAAAAAGTTATTTGATTTGATGGATCTCATTCTCTGGTTCCCTCATGCAGATGGCACAGTGCAAACATTTTTCATGAACTATTACCTAATGAAACTCTTCAAGCCAGTGTCCGTGGAATTACAATCTGGGAACTATTCTTCCTAGTGTAAATTAGGATCTCTTTTCGTATGGAAAAAGCTCTTGCCCCATAGTTTACACCTTAATGACAATCATATTTACTCCTAAGCCTGCTTTGCTACGTGACGCAGATGGTTAAAGTTTGCCATGTCATTATGTGTAATTGGTTAGAGTTAAGTTTGCTTTAATAGTTAGCTCAGTCCTTTGACTTCAATCCTATTCAGCATTTGTAAGACAGGTCAATTTAAAGCTTGGGAAACATTACTACCATCCAACCTAAATTAAACCTCAGCTGTCATTATTTTAACACTGTTTAATATTCTGCACAATATCAGCACTTTGTTGAATCCATGGCAAAATTATGAGCTGTCAAGTTGAAAGTGGAGTAATGCATTATTAAGGATTATTAAAGGAATGCCTTCACATTTTAACTACTCAGTATATTTACAGTTTTGAAGCGTTGCATATATTTAGAGTCATTCTTTTGTTAAAATAGTGTTCAGTTACGATGCAATCTGTAATATGTTACTTTGTATTAATGATTCAAATATAAAATAATATTGGAACTTATCTTCACAATGGCTTCAAATGTGATGGCAAGAATTCAGTTCTAAATGCACGAAGACTAAATTCTATGAGTAAAACTGATAAAATTAGAACTAAGAAAATTCTGATTAAATAAAGAAAATTACACAAAGTTAGAACATAAATTTTTATTGAAATGAATTTTGTGCAATTCACTTATTAAAAAAAGTTTCAACTTTCGATCTTACAAACATCAAGCTACTTTAGAAACAAATGTCTTTCAATTTTTTATTAATAATGGATAGTGGAATGATGAAAAAATATAGTTCCAACTGAAAAACATTTGTCACATTCTTACAGTAAAAAAAAAAAAAAAAAAAAAAAAAAGCTTTATTCTTCTGATTAACTAAAGTCTTCTGTTAAAATTTGGAGATAGCATTACAAAAAACCTTGAGATTAATTTTATGAATTTACAATAATTTATTTTATACCAAAACTACTATCAACCAAATTGAAACTACTGCAACAATTTTCAGTACTGATGGTATGTAAGACACATTAATTACATAAGGTTTAAAAACTGAATTAAAAACCCAAAAAATTTTCCCATCTACTTATTGTCGGAAAAGAAATAAATACGATATGAGCTATATACAAGATTTAAAATGTACGACAGACCAAATGCTTACTTCTGAGAAAATTATGACAATGGAGCTAAAACCAGAATTATTGATAATATCCACTCATTTGCGGAGGTGGTCCCATTAATGAGGTTTTGCCAGCCTGGGGTGCAGAACTGTTTGGTATTGGTGGTGGAGGTGGAGGGGGTTGGAACAAAGACTGCATAGTTTGTGCATTGGTCATTGCCTGTGTATTTCTTGAGGGACCATTCATCTGGACATTTGGTGCTGCATGGTGTGGAGCTGGGCCATTCATCTGCTGAGTATTTCTATGCGGAGGACCGTTCATTGGCATATTATGCCCTTCATAACGCTGTGGTGGAGGACCAGAATGGTGAACATTATTCATCGGCTGATTTCCACGTCTCTCAGCATTATTCATTTGTGGTGGATGTGCTCTTGATGGGCCATTCATATATTGGCCATTCATATTATGGTTGACTGGTGGTGGTCCCTGTCTTGCATGAGGAGGAGGAACATTTCCTTCAGATCTTGGATTTCCCCTTGGTGGCATTGGTGGATTTCCCCTTGGAGGTACTGGTGGATTTCCCCTTGGTGGTACTGGTGGATTTCCCCTTGGTGGTACTGGTGGATTTCCCCTTGGAGGTACTGAAGACTGAGATCGAGTGTTGTAACGACTGGATTCAGGATGTCCTCTTTCTTCATGTGAATATGCAGAATTATTTTGGGGTGTATTCAACAGACCACTTCGAGCTCCTGAATTATAAGGTGGTGGATCACGATTGTATCCAACTGACTGATCACCTCTATTGTAAGTATTTGCCTGATTATCTCGGCCATAACCACCACTTTGATTTTCACGGTTATACCCTGCATTCTGATTGTCACGACCATAGCCTGAGCTCTGATTTTCATGAGAATAGCCAGTACGCTCTGCTTGACTGCCACGATCAGGTCCACGATTAACTCTGCCTCTGTCCTCGCTCCGCATTCTGTCATTACGAGGGCCAAAATTATCTCTTCCCTGATTTCTACCACCTCTACCATCATCTCTTCGGCCTCCACGCATATCATGTCGGCCTCCCATGCCACCACGAGCTCTGTTACGCACTAGGGGAGAAAATGAATCATTTAAAAAATTACACATCAACATTAAACAAAATCATAAAGACATAAATCGCAAGTAATTCATAACTTACTTCTTCCTATACCACCTCTGCCCATGTCAGCCATTTCATACAGTTGTGGGTTTATGGCTTGATTAGCCTCCTTCAGAACACTGATCAAGTCATTCGCCTGCTTCATGTTGCCCGAAGTAAAGAAAGTGTAAGCTGTGCCACTTTTATTGCTACGAGCTGTTCGGCCAATCCGATGAACATAGTCTTCAGAGCAGTTTGGGTAGTCAAAGTTTATAACAAACTTAATATCATCCACATCTATACACAAAAATTAAAATTTGTTAAGATTTCTAATAAATTGCAACATTAAGTTTGTAAGCATAGAAGTATTTTTCTTAATATTTATATATGGTATGAATTTCTTTTAAAAATTAACAAATGGTCAAAAAATTAAAAGAGGCAATATGGAAATGTTTAAAAAAATACATCTACCAACCAAAAGAATCACTCAGAAGAGTCATACGAAAAATATGTAATAACTTGAATGACTGTATTTCCTTAAATATACTTTTAGAATAACTGTAATAAGCACTTCAAACGCATTAGAATTTTTATAAAGACACTTTTTTAAAGTAAAGACTCGCAAACATAACTACAGACACAACATATTTTATTGAACACTATTTCCCCTCTTCAAATAAATGTTATGAACTATGCAGTAATTAGAGATAAAATACTTAGATTCAAATGTCTATGGCTTTGTATTTTTGTGTGAATTTTTTTAAAATTATTTCATCTAGTTTGCTTTTAATCAATAAAATTCTTATGACAGATATGCTTGCTATATAAATGAGCATAAATAAATTTACATTACACAGAAAGCGTACAGTTTTATGGCACAAGATACATGATTCTCAGATAACACATCGTTCAATAAGTCCCATGACTAAGAAAACAACATCTATTTCACAAAATTCCCGTTTATTCATCAACACAATTGCCATCAAGAGCTATGCAATCATTCCAATGCTTTTCTAACTTTTCGATACCATGCTCGTAAAATGATTTACCCTTGTTCGCAAGCTTCAGTGGCAGCGATGACTTCCTCATTCGAGCCAAATCTTTTTCGCTGGAGCATCTTTTTCAGATCAGCAAGTAGTCGCTGGGGGCTAGATCTGGGTAGTATGTTGGGTGGGGAAGCAGAGTGAAGCCCAACTTATTCAATGTAACCAGTGTTTGCATTGTCTTGATGGAAGATTATTTTCTTTTTTTTCATGTGCGGTCATTTTTTTGTGATTTCGTCCTTCAGATGCACCAATAACTCTAATGGGTGCTATTAATAGATTTCCCCTTGATGTAAATTATACCTCGCACATCCCAAAACACTGATACCATGACTTTGTCATCTGACTTGCGATTTTGGATGCTTCGGGCGGCTCTGACCGGCTGCACTCCACCACTGACTGCCGCTTCGAATCCGGAGTGAAATAATGGATCCATGTTTCGTCCATTGTCACATACTGACGCAATAAATCCTGTTTATTGTGAGTAAACAGCTCTGTGAATCGTTGACTCGTTGTTGCTTTCGTTCTATTGTGAGCACACACAGCACCCATTTGGAAAGCGCTTTTTTCATGTAAAATCGTATATGTACTTCCAGTTGATACGTTTACCATCTCAGCTATTTCACGAACTTTCACTTTGTAGTCATTCATCCCGGTTTTCAACACTTGTTTCACATTTTCTGGAGTGACTGCTTCATTTGTTACACCCGATAGTGCTGCATCATTTGTATCCGCGCGATCGTGCTATAAATCAGCATACCAACGATAAACGGTTGTTTTCGATTGAACAGAGTCTGGATAACATTTTTAAGCCATTGCTGAGCTTGGACGGTATTTTTGGCCATTAAATAGCAATGTTTGATCAGCACTCGAAATTAATTTTTTCCCATTTTGTCCACCAAATGCACAAGTAGTGTGACTTTCACCACAGTAGCTTAGCCGTTTCTGGTCCAAATGCCATGAAAATCAGACACGTCATTTGAAAGTTAGATCTTTCAAACAACGAAGTCAAGTTGATATTACTACGCCATCTGTCAGTTAGTCCTGGGATTTATTAACGATGTGTTATCTCTCATTAGCAAAATTCATAAAGCAAAGAGTTACACACTGCGGGAAAACTTTGCACATAAACTAGACATCACGCTTATCAGTAATGTATATATACTAGCTTTTATTTTTTTATTTGAAAATTTCAAATTTGTTTTCAACAAATGTCAAATTTATCCTAAACTTTGATGCATTCTTTAAAAAAATCTGCAACATTAATAAATAAAAATATTTAAAAAATTTCATTATGATAAAAATATATAGTACAGAATATTACACAAGAAAAAATATGTGAAACATTATATAAATACATTACAGTCAATAAAAAAGAACGGAAAAATCCAAAAGCATAGTTACCTGGGAATGATTACCAAAGAGATCTAAAAAGCTTAATTAATTTAACACATTTATAAACAGCTTGGATGTGTGCAAACAGACAATATAAAAAATTGTATAGTACTTGTTAATACTCGGATGTCTTCAGAAATTTACCAAATTTCTTAAAGCACTCCAATTAAAATTTTGATAAGATCGTTATGAAAACCAAAAACCTTTTAAAGAAGATGCTCTTTGCACACATATACACATAAATGTGAAAAAATAAACCAATAAAATATATCAACAGTGAGCTAATTTACCTGTGGTTGGATGTTATCCAAAGGGTGGGCTCAACTTAGATAAGCTGCAAGCTACTTTTCACAGGCATGAAAAACTCCCATGTTGAAGCTCTCCAGCAATTTTCCCCTTTACTGGATGAATTCCTTCCTTTTGAGAGCAAACAACAGGAGCAGCCTTTTCAAATGTCTTACTAAGAGTCCTCAAAGTATGACATGGCTTACATAACTTGACTGAGTAAATTGTGTTGTGTGTTATGCCTTTGTGTAATGCAGGGAATGTTGTTATAAATGCAAAATTTTTTTTAAAATCAAAGCTAATTTATTTTTACAGCAAAATGTCAGAATACTAGAAAATTATTTTCAAGAAATTTCATTATGCATTTAAAAGGGCAGATAAATTGCATTTAAATGTTTTCCTGAAACCACATCAAAGGAAAACTGATTTTCTAGAAGAAAAGGGTAGAGATCATGCAGCAAAATTGTTTTAACTATAATTAAAAATGATCAAAGTTCGACATGAAGTTTTAAAAATACGCAGCAATAAAATTCTTTTGCAAGGAACACGGTTCACTGTACTGCAGCCATTTGAATGACACTTTCTCTCATTATTATTGTGTATGAAAAGCAACACAACTATAATAAAATATTCACTTAATAAGGAAATAAAGTTTTGTTCTCGCATTTCAAACTACACTTGCTGATACATCTTTAGCAAACATTTTAATATCACCAAATGATACACTGCATTTAAACAATTTTAAGATTCCAAACTTCTTGCAGAAAATGTATTTGCGTAAAAGAAAATGTTTCTATACAACTTTAATTCATCCTGACATTTTACTGTTTTGAAATGTGAAACTAAAAATGATTGTTTAAATGCATTTTAAAACAAAGTATTTACAGATTCAAAAGGGAAAACAGATATTATTGATAGGAATAATGAAATGGGAATTTAATTAAAGACTGCATGTTAATGAAAAAAATGTTTAAAATATCTGTATACTTTTACCTGAATTTACACTCTCATAATGATCAAAATGATTTAAGAGTTATAAATCATCGTTGACTTATAATAAAGGTACTTTGCTCTGTAACTCTCTTCAAACAGTCGTTCCCAACCACAGGTAACAGAAGCATGATTAGTTCATCATTTTCTTTTAGTACTCCCTCAGAAAAGGGCTGACATGACATTGCTTGACGACTTACATGGCGTATGTGTGGCCATGCATTGAGAGGGAGTGTTACAAAAATCTACGAGACGATGGCACCGTAGGCCTTCGCCTCCCGCATCCCGAACAGGAGGTGGACAACAAAACCCACCACCTCTCGGGGAGCAAAACACTCGTTGAATGCTTTTTTGTTCTGCAGAGGCACCACTAATGTTATAAGCCAATCATTACAGTGCCTCTGAAAAGAAAAAAGAAATGCCAGGTTAGTTAAAATGAAAAATTCCTGAATTACAGCACATATTACAAACTTACTAAATTAGCATTTCTAATTTGAGGTAATCCCCTTGTTTTAACAATGAAAAAATATTTTCAAATTTATAAAAGTAAGCAATAAACCATATACAAAAAAGTTCAAAACAGAAAACAAATAACTTAACCTACGCTAAAAATGATAATAAATAATCACGCTAAAAAAGATAATAAATAATCAGACTCGCAGATTAACCCTCTGGCTGATCATCCCACGATTTCCACAGGCAACTCAAATCTAGCAAAATTTGCACATCCAGATTTTTCCCCGTTTAACCATTGAAATAAATTATATACAGCATTAGGTGTTTACGTTTTGGCCATCAGCTATCGTTAGCTGTCCACTAAATCGCGGCATTTGAAGGCACGTGCTCAAACTTCACTTTTTGCTACATTTTTTCTTACAGAAATGGCTGCTAGAAAACGTTCAGTGATTATTTAATTAAATTATTAATTAGATTTATTGGATCTGATGTAAAGACTGTGAAGTTGGACTTTGCCTTGAAACCTGTTTTGAACTCTATCATACTAAACTGCATTTCTATGGTATTTTTCCCTCAGCGCTTTATATTTTCTTAAATTTTATACATTTTACTTTTTTATATTATGCAATAAATAGAAATTAACTGTAATTCGACTGAAATTTATTTTAAAAGATTTTTTTTTAACTTCTGAAATTGGTTTTTTTTGGCAACTTTGCTTCTCATGATAAAAATCTATATAAAAATACTTTCTAGTAAGAAAAAGTGTATTTTTCAATTCTCTAATATATATATAGATTTAATATATGCAATTTTGGAAGCGATTTTCAGTCCACAAATTGAGCAGTCAGAGGGTTAAAACAGAGATCCAGAACGACACATAAAAATTTAATAAGCTATAATCAATTCTTAATAAAAATGACTACTGCTTACCAATTAATAAAATGCTGCTATTAAAACAGGACTTGTAATTTTTTATCAGTGTACAAAACATTTAATAAAATTATAATTTATGAGATTCAGAACAATTGATTAAAGCGAATTTTTCATTTCACTTACTCTACTTTGTCCCTGCCACATATTTCTTGATCAGTACATCGTGGGTTTTTTTTTTTTTTTTTTTTTTAAATCCTGCTTTATAAATTCTTTAGTATTTTTGGTTACCTCCAATCTTGGTTGGCTTTCTGGAGTCAAAAGATAAATACTCATTGCTATTTGCATTTATTTTTGTTTCCTACTGTATATGCAGCTTTTGTTTAACCACAAATATTTTTTTTGTTCCAGTTTTTAACCGCCTTTATGAAGCACTTGTCACAATCAGTTAACACTTTTTTTTTTTTTTTTTTTTTTGGTTCTAGTAATTATATTCTACTACAGTTCTTTGCTTAGTAAATCAACTTTCATACACTTTTTACAATTTTACATTCTCTACATATTTTATGATTTTTCCTTTTTACAAAGCACAATGTGAAAATTTTGCACAAATAACTATACTAATCAACTATTCTTTCTAGTGATATTATAAGGTTCTTTTATAATAACAGATAGGCATAATTTAAAGATGCTGATTTTAAATGATTCTTAATACATTCAAGTATCTTATTACCCTGCATTTAACACAATAACTGGATTTCTGCCAGCAGCTCTTTATGCTGCAATGCCAGAAAATCTTAAGCCTAAACTTGTGTCATTTTAGCAAGTTTTTGTCTTGGAAGTATATTAAGCTCCTAAAAACCAGCTACAGCTTCTACATCCATCCATGGTAAATTCTTTATACTTATTTCTGGTTGTCATAAATGCTTAACAGAGAAACTGATGAAAATGCAGTTTGTAAAAATGATATGCTCAATGATTTAAAATAGAAACAAGTGATGGTCATAGGGGTAAAAACACAGAAAACAAGTAAACACAAATAACAGCAAGCCTCTTTAGCTGCCAGAAAGTCAAGAAGAAAATGCAATCAGAGATAACCTAAAGTACAATATCTGGGTAATAAAAACTAACTTAACTAGTCATAACTTTAAGTCAATGTACATATTTTTATATACATTATATAAAGCATTTCTGATTAATCCAATGGTGGGTTATATGAAGTGATTATGACAAATACAAACGCACACACATTATTCATGAAACCAGACGAACTTCTTTCTCCCAACGACATTTAAAAAGCACGAAAATCAATAATTCAAGAATTTTAGTAAATCTACTAATGCAAATAAATTTTGAAAAACAAATGTGAATTTTATTATGTTAATGATAAAACAAACACAGCTCATTATTCCCATTACCATGATAGATCAGATTAATTCCCTCAAACTACATAGCGAAGCTGACAATATTAACATCACCAGCTATAAATTACCTTTTAAAAAACAGAATATATTCTAATGTAAACCAAAATTAAGTTTTTATGTAAAATATTATTAAGACTCAAATAATTATTTAGAAATAAAAATGCTCATCTGCATCTTAGAATAAATATTTAGTCTCAAGTAATTCTAATCTTTAGTGGCAATAGCAAATGAAATTCCCTTCTGTTTATACAGAGAAATTAAATTTAAATAAAAACTGTTCAAATTTTATTTTAAGACATTTTTCCCCTACTAAAAATTTAACATTTTAAGCAAATTTATAAAAAGCAAATAAAAATTTCTGAATACGAAGCTAATTGAAAATGTGAAATGTTTAAATACTAGCAATGTTTTAGATGTTACATCTGCGTTAACATGCAATCCACACACATATTAAATAGTATGCTGAATTACTAAGCTATACGGCTTCTAGAAGCTATTGTTAATTTTTTACTTCGCAAAAACATTTAAAGCAACAATTTTCATATAAAATATATTTTACTTCGGACCTCAAATTCACACCAATCATTTAATATTACATTATAGAATGAAGAGTACTTTGGAGTATTGTAGAATGAAGAGTATTTTGAGATATTTTAGCTTCAATCGTCAATACTTAAATTCATACATAGATGCTAAAAGAAATTTCTCTTTAACAGTATCACTTTTAAATTCCTAATGTGAACTTTCTGCATAAATCTTTTCTTTCAGTCACATACATTGAGAAAAAATTGGAATCTGCTATATTCTATGCAATTAATAATACCAAAATAAATAGTTAAATCAATACCGGTATTTTGCATTTATCTTTTGAGCTTTCATTTAAATACAATCTGCAAAGCAATATTTCTTAATGTTGTAGTACCAGCTGCAAAATATTAAGCTATTTCAATTTGTTATCTTTAGGAGAACTACAAAAAATGGCTTTTAAATTTGTGCACTTCAAAACAGATTTAGTTCATTATTTTTAATGCAGATTTATTTGTGGGATTTTGAATTAATCTATTTTAATCCAAACATAAAAAATTAAAAAAAAAAACTGTTAATACAATCAAGAGATTTTGAATGCAATATCACATATACATATAAAATTACAACACATTTCATCAATACACTTAAATTTCTTTTAAAGATGTTAAATGTGAATAGCAAGTCCTTTATCTTCACAATCAACCCTTATAATAAACTTCATAAATATGTGAATGTATTTTCTTCAGTTTTTTTTAATATGAAATGAATACTTTTGGATTTAAATGTTAATTTTTCATGACATCTGAACATAACAATGATATTTTGGTAGTGGCTATTGCTCATTAAAATTTCAAACATCTCAACAAAAACTTGATACTTAAATTTTGTACTCTAATAAAACATCCCTGCTTTATGCTAATGAAAAATTACATTTAATCACATAATGCTTACTTTACTTAACTGTAACTATTCTATCAACAAGGGGTTACCCAAAATTACCAGAAAATAAAAAGCATCCATAATTTAAGGTACCTCTCGTGTCATGCCACCCAACTACGAAATTTTTCATTCAGCTAACGTTACAGCACATTCCATCACACAGAAAAGTACTAATTCAACTAATTAACTTTTACGCACCCAATCCTCTTGCTGCAACATCAGTAGCAACTAAAATAGGTGATCTACCAGTTCGAAATTCTTAGGAAAAAAAAGAAAGAGAGCAATTATTTTATACATAGAACAATAAAATTCTGCATTTTACATATTAAACAAAAGTTCATAAATATCAAATTGTTACATTAAACTTGGAAATATATGTAACTAAAAAAACTCTGTTCGTTAATAAAACTGTTTTACTAACTCTTACAAATTGCGACTTCGGAACATCGGAAAAAAGTTGTGACTTTGGATTAAAATCTAGCAATGCAAAAAATACACAAGTGAATCTAAAAATGTAGAGAAATAAAAACAGATTGATAGATAGAATTTGAGGATAAAAAATTAAGCTTAACGTAGCTGGCAAAAATTTTGGGGATTTATAACATTGATGTATTGGTACATAATGTAAATATATAGTCATTAACATTCTATTTATTTCTTACTTCCTTTAAATGCATCTGGAGTCATTAATGGACCATGGTCAAATTCTGAAGCTGATGAAAGTCATATTTGGAAATAATATCAGGGTTCTTACAAAATATCCCACTGACTGTGAGATTTGGCTATTATTAAACTATGAAAATTTGATGAGATTTTCTTGAAAGAAAAATTTCCGCGGAATCCTCTGAAGGAACTGACGCCTCTTTATTTAATAAACAATCACAATTTCATCCACTTTTGGTTTTTTGTGATTCATAAAATATTGTTGACTTCTACTATTTTGTTAGGCTCTCTTATTTTAATGGCATCTGTTTACAGTAAAAACGTCCCATAGATAATTATTTAGATCTAATTGTTTTGTTGGCCACATTTAGCTGGCCTACTGTGTTCATTAATAACTCTGAAAATAATCCATAACTCTGAAAATAATCCACTGCTTGCTGTTTTTTAGAAGGCAGGTCCAAATTTTGAATCAGTTTTTCAAAATGTATGAAAAAATACAACAATAACAGTAATCCTTGTCCATAAAAACAACACATGACTTATCCAGAATCAATCAGGACTACACCAAATGAAAGGGCAGATGTTATGACTGCATTATGTCGTGAGAGGGAGAAGGCCATGACACTTAATAAACATGGCAGAGCTTTCTGTCGGATGTTATCGTCGGAAAGTCACCTGAAGTTTTAAATTTTCGTTGGAAATATAGCTTTATCATGTTGCTTAGTTAACTAAAATAGCTGAAAGAAAGGAGGCTTTATATACATACACACTTTTTTAACTTTTTACAGATATTTTAATTAACTTAGCACACAAATATAATTGAAAGAACCAAAAAACAAACATTTTACAAAAATTTAAACGCTGATTGAAAATTGTGACTGTAATGATAAATTGGGAAGGGGTTCTTAAGGTAATAATTAATATTTTACCTAGGTTCAAGTATTAATTTATTCGCGTTTCAGAGCAAAATATATAACCATCAACTTCTACATCTCCAGCGTATGTAAATGAAATACTATATAATTAGCTAATAAATGTGATAAAAATATTCTTACAAGAAACATACCTAAATCTTATAACAAAAAAGCCTTCCAACATTCATATTTGAAATGAAGTAACCTAACAAACAACATGCACAACTCGCAATAAAAAAAATAATAAGCATATAAATGATAATCGTAATTCCTATTATCCTAAAATTTAGAAACTAAAAATATGTATATACATGTGCATATGATTGAAAGAAATGGTGCTAAGAAACATCAGCATTACTACTAAATATTGTAATCCATAATTAGTGCATTTTAAAATCATATAATATTTAAAAAACATTAAATTTTACATCAAGTGCAAATTGCAGATCTGTTATTTTTTTCCTTGAATTTGTAGTACACCTCTTGGTATGAATACGAATGTTGCAAGTTATGTTTTTTAATTATTACATTTGAATACATTCCATTTTCATTGTTAATTTTTGTACATGCTTGTGACAGCAATAAAATTCATGATGAATGGGGAAAAACTTTTTATTGTGTGCTATTTAATGAAGAGCAGATTTAAATGTGCAGTTCTTACTATTGTGTATATTATTCAAATCATTTCTGCCAAGTATACAAGGGAAAGTACCCAAAGGAATGTTATTGATTTGAAAAAATGAATAAAATTTCCGTGAGAACCTGCCTGAACTTTCAACCTTGTCTAAAACAAGTGTATATAAATATACTTACATATGATAGAAAGAAATGATGTTAAATCATCAGCATTGCTACTAATTATTGTACTTTAAACAGCTTGCTATTTAAAAAACACTAAATTATTTTTTTAATTAATTGGAAATAGTAGTTCTGTTACTTTTTCCTGGTAACTTTTAAACACTGCATAGTTTATGTGTTTTTTAAAACATTGCCACATACACTAAATATGTCAACATACACTATTTAAAAATATTTAAAACATTTTTTTAATATTTTAAAATAGTGTGTGTTGTTTGTTAGGTTATCTCATTTCAAACATGAATGTTGGAAGGCTTTTTTTTTTCTATAAGATTTAGGTATGTATTATTTTTTAATCACATTTATTAGCTAATTATATAGCATTTCATTTACATACGCTGGAGATGTAGAAGTTGAAAGTTGATGGTTATATATTTTGCTCTGAAAAGCGAATAAATTAATACTTGAGCCTAGGTAAAATATTAATTATTATCTTAAGAACCCTTCCCAATTTATCATAACAGTGGCAATTTTCAATCAGCGTTTAAATTTTTGTAAAATGCTCGTTTGTTTTTCGGTTCTTTCAATTATATTTATTCACAAAGTTAATTAAAATATTTGTAAAAAGCTTAAGAAGTGTGTATGTATATAAATCCTCCTTTCTTTCAGCTATTTTAATTAACTAAGCAACATGATCAAGTTATATTTCCGACGAAAATTAAAAAATTCAGATAACTTTCCGACGATAACATCGGACGGAAAGCTCCGCCATATTTATTAAGTGTCATGGCTTTCTCCCTCTCGAAGGTCACGATTATGTCATGCTTACCCATTAAATGGTGCTAAATCATGCTGCTTGGTGAAAGTTTCATGACTAATGAGATAATACATTAAGTACCAATTATCAGTTCAAGAAACACAAATATAGCCTGTTTGCTTGCCAAGTCATAAGGAGATACAGTAAGACCCCGCTTAACGCTGTTTCGTTTAGCGCTGTTTCGGTTTAGCGCTCTTTTATTTCAACCCGGGGATTCCACGAAATCGCTCGCAGCATACGGGTATTCCCCGAAATATTATGCAGCGATAGGTTTCAAATACATATTCGAAAGATTGTACTTGTATTTCTTGTTTGGTGCGGTATTGTACAGACATATTTTGAAGGGGTAAATGTGGAAGATGTCGAAGAAATAATTCAAGAAGCAGCGGCTAGTCTTTCTAATGATGAGCTCAAGAATTAACTGAACAAGAAGAAAACAAAAATGTTGACAGCAGTGATTCAGAAGAAGAGCAAAAAGAACTTTCGATGGCGTTTGTAAAAAGGAGTTTGTCTACCATAACTGAAATAATGGATCAATTCATTGAAAATGATCCGAATTTTGACAGAAGCTCAAAAGTAAGGTGTGGTGTTAGAGATGCTCTATCCGTTTATGAAGAACTTTTAAGAGAACAACGCAAAAGAAAAAGGCAAACAACATTAGATGCTTTTGTCACAAAAAGGCAGAACACTGAAAACGTGGAAGGCTAACTAAATATGACTGACTGAGAATTTTATTTGTTTTTTTTTAAGAATATTCGTTTTGTTATTTATATTTTGTTTTTATTTTTGTAAGAAATAATAATGTGGTATTAATTTGGGCTTTAAGAAATAAATGTTTGGTTTTATTTTTATTAAAAAAACATACTTTTTAAATTTAATACCTAACCAATTTCCTAGCCATCTTCCATTAACCCCAATATTTACATATAAAGATAGCCTCGTTTAGCGCTGTTTCGCATTACTCTCTACTTTGATTGAACGTATCCCCCGCGTTAAGCGGGGTCTTACTGTACTGAGGTCCCTTAATATAGAATCTACAGTCTGTAGAAATACATTTCATTTAACCCCTTAACTGCCTCGGAGCATATATATACACCTTGCTCAGCCGATACGTTAACTGCCATGGGCGTATATATATATGCTCTTCCAAACTACTATCATTTGCTTTGCGCTGCTACCCATAAAATTATTCGCAAAGCTTTGGAATGCAATACCACAATGACCTTGACAAAGTATGCAAAGGAGGATGCTATTTCAGAGAAGTGTGGGGAGAAATTAGAGAGAGGGTTAAAGTAATGACTGCATGGTATTGGCTAGTGTTGTTTGAGTAAAACTTTTTTTTTTTTTCTTTTTTTATTCTGTGTCCTCCATTTTCATTTACATTTTGTTGTAGGTTCCAGGAGTAAAGAAAGATATAACAGATGTTTCAATCCCATTTATCTTTTCTGAACTGCTCGTGCTTTGTACTGTTACTGAAACACTCCGTTTTGTAGACGAGTATATGAACCAACACTTTGCAAACGAATAATCAAGAACAAAATCGTGGTCATTCAACTAGTCCAGAAGAAATATATGTTTTTTAAGCATACCAATTTCACAAGGTATAACTGATATTACACTTTACTGGTGTAAAAATGAGTTGATCGAAACTCCATTTTAGGGATATTTTTTATCATAAAAACATCATTTTTATTATACTTACATCTTTTAACTATACTTTTATTCAAAACATTAATTTTTGTGCATTCATTTTTTTATAATTATTCTTTATTTTGTGAAAGTAAACAGTTTTTAGAAAATAAAATTTCACTTATTTTTCCCCTAATACATCACATAACTACGCTCGCCAGTGTGTGGGAGAAGACCATGGCACTTGGAAATAAATCTTGTACGTTTCCCGCGGCAGTTAAGGGGTTAAAGAAACATTTCAACACGGTCTAGCAGCTAAGTGAGACTGGTTTTTATGACTTTCAAAATAAAAATGCTGTTGATCCAATATCTGTTACCTAAATGGCCAGTCTCCTAACTATCCTCCAGCAATATGCCAATGCCATCCTTTCATACCATTGCATGAGATGTACAACCCTACTTAAGTATAAATTTTATATTTAAAAACTAAATTGTCTGGTCTTTGAAACATGTTATTGATTAAACTACATACTCTTCTTAATAAAATGGCTTCATATCTTCCATTATTCTCAAGTTCATATATTTATTTCAAAAAAGTGAAAATATTATTTAAGATAAATCTAAGCCAGGACATAAAGAGTTCCATCAGTAATACAGTATTCACTGCAAACATTAGAAAATGCTTACAGGAAAACTGTATAACTGTGACAATAGAAAATGAGTCTGGAAATGATTTAAGAAATTTAAGTTGAAGACAAGTGCAAGGAAAAAGTAATTTCCCAGTTTGTACCACAATCTTTGTTTGATCAACAAAAAAACATATTCTGTACAACATGCAAGAGATTCTTTAAATTTGGCATGGAAGCCAAAAATATCCAAACCATACCTTTATAACAATTACAGCTGATGACTCTACTCTTATATGCACACACAGGTCAGCAAATGCGTCGATATGTGTCGTGCGCTGGATCTTGTTGCAATTGCATATTCCGCGATGGTGGTTTCTATGGCAACCCTTTTTACATGGAAACTTGGATTTTACTACCGTAGTGGTTTTAGTTACTAGTTGGTTCCTGAGGTGTGTGGTTTTAAATGATTTATGATGCAACCGAGGGCGTACATGTAATGAAAGACGTGTTGGCAAAATTTCGTCGCGTGGCCTGGTACAACTATTTTTTTGGGTGGAGGGTAATTCTACAAGTATTTAGGAGAAGAACATTTATTTGTGAAACATAGTATCAATTTTGTGGATAGTGAGGCTGGCTGTCATATAAATACGATAGACATTACATGGCAGCATGTTAAAGCTACGTTGCCAACTCGTAATCGGAAATGCGATTTGGAGTTTTATTTGGTGGTTTATACATTTTTCCATTGCTGTTCTGAAACATGAGAAGGTGCTTTAACAAATTTGTGGTGAAATTGTTCTGGTGATGTTTGAAATTGGTACTTCTGCTGTTTGAAGAAGCATTCATTCATGGTAAGTGCATTTTGTTTTATTCTTGTTCTTATTTTGTAGTCATTTTTTTAGTATGAATTTCTGTTGTTGTTATTGTTTTTTTGAATGTTTGAATTTTATTTTAGTTTATTTTGTTGACTAGTGCACAATACCTAGATTGTGCAATTTGTAGATTTCTTTTAAAGCAGAATGCTGTGTACACGGTATTCTTGAAATTTATTGTTAATTTATTAAAGCGAGGTTTGCGTAATTCATAGATTCCTTTGGATGCCTAGATTGTGCAATTTGTAGATTTTTTTTTTGTTGAAACAGAAAGCTGTGCACATGGTATTTTTTGAAATTTATTGTTGTTAATTTATTTAAGCTAGTTGTGCATAGTTTGTAGATACCTTCGCTGCATAGATTGTGCAATTCTGTGATTTCTTTTTAAGTTAAAACATATCGCTGTGTACATGGATTCTTGTCAAATATTTTCGGTTAGAAACTAAGTTTTTGCTATCTAAACGTGTTTCCCCCCGCCAGATTTTTAGCTTAAATTGTGTGTTCATTCAAAACATGGTTTTTGCATGTGTGAAAATCGTGTTTTTGTAGACATTTTAGGCTTAAATGTAGACAAAAAATTTCAGTAGTAATATGGCAGCGTGGGGCGAGAAATTTGTCACCAACCGAGGGCGTATATGAGAGTAGTTCCCAGTTGATATTTAAGACAATAATTTAATTTTTTAATTTGACATTTAATGGGTTCAATATTTTAACCTTGTAACTAAAATAAAATTATCTTGCCAGGCATTGATAAACTTTTAGAAAGTACAATTTTTCTTTTCAATTATTCAAATGATATAAAATGGAATTTAAAATTTATTTTCCAACTCACCATTCAAGACCCAGTCTCTTTCAGGTTGTGATTTGTCACCATGAATACACATAGCTGGCCATCTACAAAAAATTATATACTACTTATTTTACAATTTTCTACATCTGTTCACTAAACAAAATGATATATTACTCATTTTTCTTTCTAAATTTGTCATTCAACCAAAAATAACAGAAGTTAAGCAACATACCCATCTCTGCGCATACGTCTAGTTAAATCATCTACTTTCCGTTTTGTTTCAGCAAATATAATGGTCTGAAAGAGATTTCCAAAATTGAATTCAGAAACCATGAAAAAAATTTTTTTACATACTAAATGTTTTTATCCTGAATCTTTATGATTAAATTTTTTGTGTATATGCAAAACTTGATAAAATGATGAAAACTTTTATAAGCATGTTATGCAGTTTTTCAAACAAGCAGAAAATTAACCATGCAATATTAAAAATATAAAAACTCACTTTATTATCTTTCTGCCCCATTATTTCTTCAAGAAGTTTAAAAAGCCTATAGAAAAGGGGGAAAATGAAATTAATGACTGACAAAAAATTGCATACATAATCTAAGATCATACACAAGATCCCATACTTGTTTTCCTTCTCATGTTCTTCACAGACATCTACAATTTGTGTGATGTTATGATTTGCACACAAGCTCAAAGCTCCTATATTGATTTGAACATAATCTTTCAAGAAATCTTCAGCAAGAGCTCGCACTTCCTTTGGCCAAGTTGCACTCCACATCAATGTTTGACGATCAGGCTACAGTTTATTTTAGAAGAAAATTTTACAAGAATATGTATTACTTTCTCATCTTTAATTATGTGCAATAATGTCAACATTAATTGTACGCAATGAAATTTAAAATACTGAAAGGAAATTAATTACTCTGATCTGTTCTAAGATTTTTCTTATTTGAGGTTCAAAACCCATATCTAACATGCGATCAGCTTCATCCAATACAAGATATGTACAGCGACGAAGATTTGTTACTCCAGCTTCTAAGAAATCTATTAAACGTCCAGGAGTAGCAACACAGATTTCAGCACCTTAAAAATGAAAAATTGCATGTAAGTGCATATTTCTTACAATTTAGTAATTTCTATCTAACTTAGTAAAAATTAATACAAACATTAAATTTCATAAAAAATTTTCAAAAATAAATCTATTACAGTATGTTCATGCTTAATTAAAAATAAATTCAGTAATATGCAGTATAAAAAGTTTTGATACATATTCCAGAAAGTGAATACATTCCTTTTCAAATCAATTAAACTTAGTGTCTACAAACTCAGTTTTTCTTTAGAACCTTCAAAAACTTCTTTTTAAAAATAAGGTATCTTTTCATTAAACACACTTGGTTAACATCCCTTAAGAAAACAAATTTGCAATTCAGATACAAGTATACCTAACTCACTGGATGATTTTTGAACTTATTTAAATGAAGCATTTTGGAGGACTACATTTTCAACATCATAATATCTTTGCAAAAAATGAACTTGTGACATATCTTTCGAAGAGATTTTATTTAGAAAGTGAAACAAAAATAAAAGAACTAAGAAGCAAACTATTTTTATTACATAAATACCACCACAGAAACAAAAAAGCAATGACGAACAGTTTTTTGATTTTTAATTATTTTCCAAATGGATCGGAGAGGGATGACCATTTCTGTAGCACTGAAAGTGGTACACGAATTTTCTTTCAGATAGTGATCCTGATACGGGTCCCGGGTACATGTGCAAAACATGCAATATTGGGTTGTGCGTTTTCAAAGATGGTGTCACTTTCTTCGAAAAGTACCACCATGAAAAAAAATAGACTAAAGTGTAAATATGAAATGTAAATATAGTATATCTAAGTTACTTTTTTTCCTCATTCATACGCATGTAATCATCATATAACCAAAAAAGAGCTTTTTAGGGGGTATAGAGTAGCAGGTCTCCCCGTGGCACACCCTGGGGTAATGCTAAATCTGCTACAGTATTCAGAATCTAGTGTTTTTTAATTGTAGGCAAAATCGCTTGTTCTTTTACGTGCTTGCCAGCAATGCTCATTTCAGCACTCTTTTTGAAGTTAAATTCAATCAGTGTGCCCGCTTCGGGCATACCCACAGAATTAACCACTTGCCTGATTATCCCCAGTTATCTTGGGTTCGTATATATATTGCAATTTATTATCCCGAGGTGAGGCAGAATTTGTTAGTATGATTTCTTTTATCACGGTTTTACTTGGTCTGGAGGAAATGAAAGGAAATATTTAGCTTTGATTGGCAGTTTGCCAAATTTTGTTGGTTGCGCGGTTCGTTTGGAGGGACTGGTTGCGTGTTTTTCCCTATTGTATAGTAATACATTGGCTTGTGGATTAGTAATGTATAAAGAAGGATGCATGCGTTGGAAAAATAAATATTGCGATGATGGAAGATAGCGAAAGTGATGATTTTTCAGATAGTGATTATGAAAAGGTTGGGGAAAAAAAAAAAAATCAAATCCAACGAGACAGTGTACTCTGTGCTCCCGTGAAAGAGATTCCAGCAGTAAGCCAGTAGGAAAAGAGACCAGATAAACTATCATACAAAGATTAATATTTAACTTTTTTTCGTTTGCCCGAGATAACTCGGGATAAGTAAACGAATATTAAAAATAAATGCTTTTACACCTTTAAATAATTCAACTTAAAACCTACATATTTTGGTTTGTTTCGTTTTGTTGTACTTAATAATAAAATAAACAATGTGATGATTTTTTGCAATTTTTTCAAAAAAATTTGTAAGGGAAACTGTTAAAACAGTAACTGCTATCTTCACAAAATTTTACTTGTGTACTCCTCTAGGTCTAATTAGACTACCTACCTTTCTTTAATCAAAATTCCAACTTTAAAAGGTAGCATGCCAGAAAGGGTTAAAGAATTAGCAGGAAATTCCAGGTTAGCTAAACAACATGATAAAAGAATTTATTTTGAAACTAAAAGGAAAAGGAGAATAAATAAATAATAATAATAGTGATAAAGCTTTCTGGGCAGAGAGCAAAACTTGTTTAACACTGAATGGCATCAACAATTTAAATCGAAAAGAATGTGGAGTATCTATAACAAAATCTTTGTGAGAAACAGCAACAATGAAGAACTGAAATATTTTGTCATGACTATATGTAAATTTTAAATTATGCTGTAAGCATATGTTATTTGAAATTCAAACGATGTAGTACAGCACTCGAGTACATTTGAAAGGAAATATTACATTCGAAGATGCAAAAATAATGGAGACTTTATTCCTACAATACATCCTGAACTAGAGAAAACTCAAATTTAAATATCATAAAAAGAAATTATTCAGTTCCTTTTTATTCTCTGATATTCCAATAACTTACTTGATTTTTTTTTTTTTTTTAAAGGAAAGAGGGCAGTCTTTCTCTTCAATTTAAAATTCTATTTAATATATACACAAAATACTCAGTGTAGCATAGCAAAAATATTAATAATTAATGCAATTCCACAGTACTAGACGTAAATGTAACATTTAAATCAGTTACATAAAAATTTTACTTGTAATGAATGCAATTAGTAACTAAGATGTGTTCACTCCCTGCTTTATTTCATTGAAAAATACATTTTATTAGAAAAATATAAGGGCCCGCCAGTGGCCGAATGGTAAAAGTCACTGAGGACTGGGATGTTTGCATGACGGTCGCTGCCAAGTGTTAATGATGCAGACTACATTTTGAACTAAGCTCTAGCTCAAATGTAATTTCTTTTCCAATTTCTACCTTCAGCCCCTTCGCGAAGTATGTTATATACGCATCAGTCGCGAATGTAGTTAGCACCTGGGTAATGCACTGGTGCATCTCCACTTGCATTTATGTTCCAGACGGGTGTTGCATATATGCATTTTCAAGCCTACACATTCTTTTAGATTTTTTTAAATCACTAGGTGTCGCTCTGCTTCCCCTGCAGTTAGTTTATTTGAATATATACATTGTTGACCTTGTGTCCCTGAAGTATTTTCTGATTGAAGATTCCTTTTGATGTAGGAGCAGATAATATAAAATAAATAAAAACCAGATGACACACAGTTGGCTTCTCATAATAAAAACATTGAATAGTTTCCATTGCTTCAATTTCCCCCCCCTTTCCTTTTCTGTGGGAAGATTGGGAGTAGTACAGCTGTGGTTTTAGGAACTCATGTTTGTATTCAGTTTGTATCTTTAGATAGCAGATGTTAAGTTTTGGGTAACAGAGTTAAACTAATAGTGCGATGTCTAAGAGAAAGAAGTTTTTAATGGAAGTGTATATTTGAATCGTAAAGCTCTCAATTGACTATTTCAACACCAAAAACTCTAGATTTAAGTAAGAAAGCAATTTTGTTAACGAAATTTTCTCAGAGACTGATTTGGAAGTTCGTCTTGCTTGCACCTCACAATCCAGCAGAACAGTGGCTACTGTCATGAACTCGATCTGTTAAGTATTTGAAGCCTTATGAATTTACAGGAATTGCAGAAGTAAACGTAATTCAAAGTCATGGAGATAAAACTGATTTTCTCACCATTACCTTTGATAATGTAACGAACATAATAGTTGAAGAAGCTAATAATTTCTATGAGCAAAAGATGAGTGAAAAATCCATCTTCATCCAAAATCAACATATTCTTCTAGATGTGCTTAAAATGAGGGGATTCCTATGACTAACTATTCTGCTGGGATGGGATAATTAAAAATTTTGACCTGAAAATGTGTTTCATAACTAATGAAACGATAGAAACTAGATTATCACACACTGTTTCCTTTCTGAATCGTTTTTTTTATGCTATATTTTTTCATATACTTTATTATTTCTTACCTATATTTAGATATACATTTAAGCAAGCTTTTTTACATTTCATCGAGTCAAACATTTTATTTTGCATTTAGATTTTAATCTATTGATATTCTGTATTTATGATTATATTACTGTTGAATACTATTACAGAAAAAAAATCAAAAGAATTGATTAAAAAAATATTTTTAATGAATTTTTTATTAAAGTTAGGCTTAGCCACGTAAAACACCCAGTCTTGCGAGATCGTACTACAGCAACAAAACACCGTATCTTAAGGTGAATTGTGCTAAGCAGCAAGCCACCTCGTAAGAGGATTAACTGCTGATGCATATGTGTTACACCCATCCTGAAGGGATTAAAAAGACGTTGTAATTAAGAAATTGCTAAAACTACCTGTCAACTACTTAAAATTCTTACCTCGTTCTAAATCTCTTATCTGAGGACCCTTGGGTGCTCCTCCAAATACACAAGTATTTCTAACTCGAGATGTGTGACCGAAGTCATTGGCCACTTGCTGGATTTGTTGAGCTAACTCTCGAGTAGGAGCTAATACAAGGACCTATAAAGCAACAACATATTTAATTAAAAAATTTCAGAAAATGACCAAAAGGAATACAAAGGGTTAATCAAAGCAAATTAACTTACAATAGGGCCATCTCCTCTTTCCAATGGTGGCTGGTGATTAATGTGAACAATGGCAGGCAATATGTACTGAAAAATTGACATATTTGAAAAAGCAATCCACAGAAGCATAAAATTATAAATTACATAACAGCAGCTTTAAAATATATAAATACTCATTTAAAAAAGTAAATAAAACTCGAAATTTAACCTTCCAACACGAACGCTTGGCAATTTTACATGAGCATGCGCGCATCAGTTTTTTTTTTTTTTTTGGACATCCATTATTTTGCCGTTTCGGGCACGAAAAACAACAGAAATGAGTGAATATTAATAATACATTTGTTAAGAAATAAAATATTAATCTTATTATAGCAAAATACAAATGATATTTTATTGCATTCAAAAATGAGTAAAAGTTCTTATGTTAGTGAGAGGGAAATGCAATGCAAAACTGAATTAGTCATAAATTTTGGGCACGAAAAATGACAGAAATGAGTGAATATTAATAATACATTTGTTAAGAAATAAAATACAGTCAAAAAAGTCGTTAATCTGGACACCCATAATCCGGACCTCAAAGCTACAAACTTTCTACGCATGCGTCAACGCATAGTGCTTTCATGCATGCACGTTTTATGTAGAACGGAGGGTATCAGCTAAGCTAAAATTATCTAATTATCTATTTCAGTTAATGTTGCAGACTGCGTTGTTCCTTAATCTTTGAATTGGACCCGACTTGTTATTTTTTGCAGACTGTTAGAGCAATTTTATAAAAGTAAGCTTGAACTTTCGACTATGTCAAATAGAATTTCCGATGCTGGAGCTGCCTAAGGATCTACAAAGTGAAAGTATGCTTCGATGTCCATCGAACAAAAAGTGGAATTGCTGCAAACAATGGATAAAGGCATATCCTTTGTTTCTCTAACCATTCCAAAATCTGTTTAACAAGCGGGGACGTCGCGGCGTGCAATGAACTGGAAATTGATCTGTCAGCACTATCCTTATCTTCAGAGCAGATGTTTTTATTTTATTCAGCTTATAATTCCTTACTAAATGTAGTATTTCATCTCGATGTATTCCGTCTTTCACGATTTAAATCAAATTCCTCGTTATTATAAACATCACGAGTACATATCAAATAGTTTTCTGGTTGCAATTTTCTAATTTTGACTATGCGTAATGTATGCTTTACGCATGCGCACGTTGAAAGAAATGTTTAATAAAGTAAACAAATAAATATTAAGCTTTTTTTTTTTTTTTGTAAATTTTGATACCCTTTAGATCATAATTGCTCTTTATTTCATAAATTACGGTTTCATATTTTTAATTTTATAATTTCTGCATGCCAGCTTACCAGATTTAAACTGATGATCTATAATCCGGAATCACCGAAGTCCGGACGTGTCCAGATTAAAGATTTTTGACTGTTTTAATCTTATTATTGCAAAATACAAATGATATTGCATTCAAATATAAGTAAAAGTTCTTATGTTAGTGAGATGAAAATGCAATGCAAAACTGAATTTGTCGTAAATTTTGCACTTACGCACGTCCTGGAAGGTTAAAGGATGGCAATTTTTTTCCAATACATAAAATGAAAACAAAACATATTCTTACTCACTGATAAAAAAAACTGACTAAAGAAATTTTCTAAATAGATCTGACAAATTCAAGATTGGAACAGAAGTAAACAAGAATAATATGCTTAAAAAATAAAATTTAAATAAATAAATTCTTCAGGTTTACTGTGGTGATTCAGATTTTTTTTTTTTTTTTTTAAATTAGGAGCACATAATAGTTTGAAAAGCACTATACTTTGATATTTTATAAACTCAAATTTGAAGAACACGTAATAAAATATATAAAAAACTGAAAGTATAATTCAAACACATGAATTCATTTATATAAATCTGAATTTAATGACCTTGTAAACACCGAATGCACAAAAATACTAGCCATTTTATTTAATTTCAATGCATAGGTTCCAAGCCATAAAAATTAGTTTATTATAAGTACAAAATCTATAATAATGGTAAATATTGCAAGTCAATAAACAGGAATTATTACATACTGCAAGTGTTTTTCCAGAGCCAGTCTGGGCTATACCAACTAAATCTCTTCCACTGAGAGCAATAGGCCAACTCTGAGCTTGAATTGCTGTTGGTTGTTGATACTGCTGTTGCCGAACAGCTTCCATCACATAATCTAAATACATTTCACAATAAGTATATCAAATTTCACTACACACACATTAATGAAAAAGAAATCTGAAAGGGTTCAGATTTTAATGATAGCCTAAAATGGCTCTTATTAAAGTTTAATATGGTTTCACAATAGATCCCAGGTGGAACAATGAAACATTTCATAGAATATTAGATGAATATACACTTACACTAACATGGGAACGTCATATATCTCTTGTACGTTAAAAAGTGAAAAAATTTGCAATTCTAAAAAATTTTTTAATTTTTTTTTAATTAGATACATCATGAATTAAATGCATTTTAATTTAAATCCTAAATCAGACTAAAAAGTAAAAAATATTAAGATATGAATCAATCACTTTTAAATAATTCAGTTTTTTACTTGTTAATGTGTTCTAAGATTTAATAATTATTATAAAAAACTTCAACATTATTTGCCTAAAATTTTATTTTAAAATGTGTGCTTGGGTAATTTGCCAGCAATGTAAGAAACTAGTAAAATTTCTGCCAGAATACAGAATTTTGTTGCAAAATCTCTAAAGAGAAAAACGAGGAGATGTGCTTAGTAGAACAAAGGTTGTTTGAATAATGCCTGCCAAGAGCCTGGAGACATTAATCCTGTTCAGAAGTTAGATGATGATAATAATACCAATTCATTTGATGTACAAGCAGTTGTGCCTGAAGTGTAAGAAATGTCATCAGAAGAAAGCGAGAAGGACAATATTTTTCGTTCACTAAGAAACAAAACATACCTTGGACACTACAACATCCAAATTGACTGGTTTTACAGAAGCCATGAGCAAAGTTGAGCACGAAGTTACCAGGCATTTAGGCTTCTATCTTTATCAATGAAATACACACGTAAGGTTCTCCAAAAAAAATCTGACATTTTTTCCAGTTACACTTGAGTAACTAATGTAATATTGTTATGCTTTTTGTGATGAACATGGATAATAAACTGTAGTAGATATTTACATATATATTGTGAATGGTTAATGTGAAGAAACATGTTTTCAAAATATAAAGCTGGCATCCCCAGCTAAACAAGAATTTTTTTCAACACTTTTTTGGACTCTTGATGTTTGTATTAATGAGGGTTTGCTGTAATTGTATTTTAAAACTATATTTAATAGTTTTAAAAGTTAATTTTAAAAGTATACTGATAGCAACAAATGGGAAAAAAATTACTTTAGAAGGGAAGAATAAGGCAGTCCACAGAACATTCGAATTTATAAAGCTATTCTCCAACTAGAAAAAAGTCTGCAGAATACTGCTCTACGACATATACAACAAAAAGGAAAAATGAGCCATTAACCCTTTCAGGTCTGGCATTCCATATGCATTTCTTCACAAACGTCTCTCACAGGAGTTTCACTCATGCATCAATGGAGAACTAATGCAGATAATGCATATATGCATTTTACGCTAAAACAAGTTTTAAAGACCAGAACCAATGCAACGGACAGATAGCACATATGCATTTTAAGCTAAAGCATGTTTTAAAAACCACTAGATGGCTTCCTGTGTCCATTACTTTTGAACTGAATGCAGTTTCAGGAACCTGACCTTCAGTTGAATCATATTCTGTGTAACACTGCTGTCAGTTGTTGCAGGGCAGGAGCAAAGCAAAATGCAAATAAAGCTCTGCTCTTTAACTTGCCAGGTAACAAATATTCGTGTCTCCTATATCTCTTCAGATGCTTTTTTTGCTACTATGTAGGATCTTTCAGGGTCACTATGTGGAGTTGCATTAAGCTTTGCATTGCTTTTATTCCTTATATTTGAGTACTTCCCTTTTTATTTTGGAAAGCCTTGACATCAGTTTATTATGTCAAGAAAGTATTATTTATAAGAGGAAAGAAATATTCGCATGGTAAATGAAACGATTAATGACATGAACTAGAGTGATGATTCATTTTCTAAAAAGTTAGAGAGCGATATTTCTAGTGATTCTCGTATGGACATTTTATCACAGACTGAACTCACCAAATGTCAGCCTTCTACTTCCCGTGAAAGATTATGTTACTTCTTGAAAATAGGCTTCCTTTTTTTAAAATTAATTTTGGAGTTTATTAATGAATTTTGTCAATAAAAACTTGGGAATCATTTGAAGAGCTTCCAAAAATTACTTCTCAATGTAAGCACTTTGTTTTACATATTTTCATGTACAGGAAAAAGATTAAATGCTCGTTTTAACATACAAGGCGAGATTGAAAAGGTGACTGATGTCATGACAACTGTATTATATATTTATATAAAAATGCATCACTATCCTTCAAATTAGTTCCTGCCACCTACAATACACTTCTGACAACATTCATACAAGTTCTGGAAGCTTTTGAAAAAGTCCTCCTGTGAGACTGTGTTAAGTTCCTTGGTAACAGCAGCTTGAATGTCTCGAGATGCTCGAAAATCGGCGTCCTTTAAGTGCCAATTTAAGTCGTGGAAAGAGGAAAATCACATCATTTTCGAAAGGAGGGGCGTGTCAGCTTACTATTCGGTCTCACCTTGAACTTCAGACTTTTTCCTCACTTTCGAAAATGTCTCATTTTTTAAAGGAGGGGTGAGTCACGTTACTTTTTGGTCTCACCTTGAACTTCAGACTTTTTCCTCTTTCCACAACTGAAATTGGCACTAAAGGGATATCGATTTTCCAGCATCTCAGAACATTCAAGCTGCTGTTACCAAGGAACTTGACACAGGTTCAAAGGAGGACTTGTATGAACGTTATCAGAAGTGTACTGTAGATGGCAGGAACTACTTTGAAGGACAGTGATGTATTTATCTGTAAATATGTTATACAGTTATTATTATGACATTAGTCACTTTACTTTTCGGTCTCACCTTGTATACGATAACTTAAGTAATAATCCAAAATAGTACCAAAAATTATGACATAAACCTTTTTGTGATTTTTTCCCTACAGTTAGATTTAGTAGTGCAAAACCTCTGTTCTGTGGGATGATTCCTTTTGATCAAGATGCAATGTCTTAAATAATGGCACGCTGTCTCAAAAAGGTTAACAAAAGTAATGAATTATGCCCTAATTGAGCTAAATGCTGCAGTTATTTAATGGTAAAGGTTAACAAAAGTAATGAATTATGCCCTAATTGAGCTAAATGCTGCAGTTATTTAATGGTAAAGTACACTGAAAAGAAACTAAGCACACTGCAAATAATGGTTAATTAATTTACCAGTAATTACAATCTGTGCTTACAATACAAATGCATTTCCATGATACATCTCATACATTGTATAGAACACTGCAGTGATAATTTAACTGGTTGTTTGATGTAACTCATTCTAGATACGGCACCTTTTTGTTTTTATGAATAAGTATGTAAATAAACTGTTAATGCAATTTATCCCCTTGCATTTTGAAATATATATATATTAAAATATGGAACAACACAGCACATAGTGGATTACTTTCAAGTTATTGGATAGTACCATCAAAAAATGACAATATGCTCAGCTAGCTGAATACAGTTAATAAATCTTGGAACAAATAGTTGCAGGAAGCTTGTACTCTGCATTCTAAACAAAGCTACCGGTAAAAATGGAGAGCCTAACACAACACTAAAAATCAACAAAGTCTTTTTATAAAGCATTAAAATGAGGTAAGTCAAATATTAATAGCTTATTAAATAAACAGTCATCACTTTCTTCAAAATTCATCAGCAATGATTGGCGCAACTTTGGCAGAATCTCCACCAACTTTCTTTCAGACTTCAATAGTAACCAGCTTCTTTCACAATTGATGGAGTAATATGCTAAGTATCAAACTTTCTAACATTATTCTTCATAAATATAAATTCTAAAAATCTGATGATATTGTATATGAATTTACTCAATCATTAAAATGAAGAATGATTGCATATGAATTCACTCAATCATTAATTCTTAAATCCTGAACATAGAGAAATGAGGTAGAGTATCCCAGATAGAAAGTTCCTTATTCTTCTTTCTTTTGCAGATCGGCATTATAATTTATATTAACTCAAAATATTCTCTTAAATGTCCTTCTGGACATTTTTTATATCTCTAATTACAGCGTGGATTTTATATTCCATTTTCCATCTGTTTATCATTTTCCAATAAACTTCAATTTAAAACATCATGCACAGCACACACCTGCATGTAAACTAGATTAAAAACCTTTATTAGGAGGTAACTATAAAAATAACTAAAAATTCATTAGAGGAACACCTAAAGAAAAATCCAACAGAATTCTGATAACCCATGGCTACTTAACTCTGTGAGTGGCATGGCTTTCTGAATCTCGTGAAGATCCTTATTTAAACAACATTTATTAGCTAAACTTTGCATAATTATTAGTCTGTTTTCATAAACTTCCATTTATTAATAAGATGATATTTACATCTTTAAAAAAAGAGAAGCAAAATATTTTAAATTTTAAACGGTACTATTCAGTTTTTGGGACCGTAAAAAAATTGCAGCGAAAATGTGTGCGCAAAAGCACCAAATCTACCAAACACACTCATTTAACAGCGCGCCAAATCTAGCGTATGCGCTGATTTCAGATTGCGTAAGTAATCATAATAGGAAGCTGGCTATATAAATTTAATTCATATTATAGAGTAGAAAGGAATGCTCCTCATCTACTCCTTTCCACATGCACATCTCTAAAGGATCTATCAATTGCTCATGGCAAATACACCAAGTTTCATCAAAGCATTGAAGCATACTTAGGGATTATCTGATACTGCTGAAACAACTACTAAAGTATGCCTCGAGCATAATTTTCAGTCATATATAATTAATTGCCTCTGGATGCTATAACACTCTTGACATTTGTTAATCAGTTACTACATTGCTTTGTAGTAACTCTTAGGATTGGCATATCCCAAAAAAAGAAGTCATTCTTCACATACTTTTATCATTACATTTTCTAAAATGGTTTTGAAAATTGTGAAACGATCTGAAATATACGCATATACGAGTTAGTAAATATAATACAAGCAAGTTTAACAAACAAGACGAGTGGGTTATTTTTTTCCCATCCAAATTCCTAAAAATTCTTAAATGAAACTGTAATTTTATAATTTCAATCTTTCCATATAAGGGCAATCACTGCCACTGCATATCAGGACACTCTCATGAAAGATCAGTGTTAGATCACAAAAGGTTGATGATATGGTGAATAGATAGTCAATTCTTCAAATGTTTGAATTATGACTGCCTTTAATAAATGCTGATGAATGATAAAATATATCAAATAACATATTCTAATCCAGATGCTCCTAACAGCTTTCACAGAACATTTCCAATCCAGCTTCACATCTTCTCCTGTCTTGACATACACATCAATGAAAATGGAACTACCCAACTGGAATTTTCCGACATATTCACAAACATAAAGGGATCTACACAATATACAACAGTGATATTTTGTGCCACAGCAAACGATGAATCCAGACAGATTTTGTAAAATGCTGCCTCATATGTGTTCTTCAGATGCTACCATATTGAGACACATAAGTATTGCTGACACACAACTTACAGAAAAGTTTATCACTTGGTAGGTAGACAAAAATTTAACTCATCAATTTAGCAATAATTACTGTGACTCAGATATCTTGCGTAATTTATAACTCATGATTTTCATGCAAATTTAAAGACATTACTTTATGGGATAGACCAGTGGTCTTCAAACCGAGTCAAAATAAAAATTAGGTAGCGTTTCGTTATCAGGGCCAAACGCAGATATATATATATATATATATGTATGTATGCATGCATGTGTGGATGAAAGTGTTCATGTACATACATATGTACCTGTGTGTGTACATATACACGCACATATATATATTATGTGAATGTACATACTTCTAAATCTGATCCTGATAACACAGCAGTACCCAAAGTAATAAACCACTCAGACTAGATGACTACTGTTCATCAACTTAAAAATATAAAGATACATTTAGTGATTGCTAAAATGGAAGCATATACGAGTTAGTAAATATAATGCAAGGGAAATGATACTTGGGTGTGTGTGTGATTATGGCAAAGCCTCGAGGGCTATCTGCCTAAGGGGAGGGATGCCTTCATGGAGGACTTTCTAAGGGAAACTGGCTCGTATACACGTTACACATGGGGAAAACCACAAAAACGCCCATGCAGCCAGCACGTTCGCGGGATTCGAACTTCGGACCGAACTACCAGTGTTCAGCTTCTTTACCGCTCGGCCGCTGGTGGGCTGAAATGATCCTTGGAATACAAGTTATCCCAATTAATGAGTGAACTACACTAATTTTTAAATTTTCTTTTATAAAAATATAATACTTTTTAAATAATCTTTATACAAAATACCTATAAACAAACTGATTGATTTAAAAAATTATTTTAAGATACATTATTCTAAGGGCGGACTGGATGCTTCGAAAAAACATAGTTCTAAGGATCGCATAAGCTAAGTTTGAAGACCATTGTGACAAACACTTAATTCCGGCGAATAATAACATGAATTAATAGACATTTTTACAAAGAAATATTTCAATTAATAACATGAATCAACATGCATTAATACAGCAGAACTATCTACAAACCTGGAAAACAGCCTTCATCAAAATTGGCAACTGGTTTTGGAATATTCGGTCCACGAATAGTTATTTCAAAATGCTGGCGATAACTATCTGCTTCTTGCTAAAGTGAATGAAATGAAAATATTATGTTATTTATAATACAGCATTTTCCAATAAACTTCAATTTAAAACATCATGCACAGCACACACCTGCATGTAAACTACACTCACGTTTGTGAAAATTGCAACACCATGAAGGACTTACGCAAGTGAGCTGAAATTTTCAGGAAATGCAAAGTAGCGCATGATATGCAAATGATTAGAACTGCAAATCCGTAGCGCATGCGTATGCTGAGCAGCGCCCTCTGAACGGCTGATGGATCCGAATAAATAGACGGCTGTAGTGAGGCGTGTATGGTTATCGGTGGTTATCTGCTAGTGGTAAACGTTAACTCAATCTGTACTTACGCCTCGTCGACGAAAGAGAGCGAGATTTGAACAACTTACAGAGTTTGAACGAGGGAGAATCATCGGCCTTCGTGAAGCTGGATTGTCGTATCGTGCAGTAGCCTCTCGTGTGCAGCGTAACAGCAGCACAGTGATGCGCGTTTGGAAGCAGTAGACGGACGAGTGTCGGACAACTCGGAAATCCGGGAGTGGACCCCGAAATGTGACGTCAGCTCGCGATGATAGACACCTGGTCCGCATGGCGCGGACGGACCGTACAGCTTCCTCTAGACAATTGGCAGCACTGTGGTCAATAGCTACAGGTGTTTCATTGTGTGCTTCATCAATTCGTAGACGTCTGCTGCAGTGTGGACTGCGTGCACGGACTCCTTTATACAGGATCCCCCTAACGCACGACCATCGCCGCCTGCGGCTACAATGGGCCAATCAGCATAGAGACTGGCGTGCTGATTGGCAGCATGTCGTGTTTTTTGACAAATCCCGCTTTAATTTGTGGTACCATGATGGCCGCACTCGTGTCAGACGCTATGCTGGTGAACGCCACCTTCCGGAGTGCATTATTGAACGCCACAGTGGACGAACACCCGGAGTTATGGTCTGGGGCGCCATAGCATATCATAGACGATCTCAATTGCTACGAATTGTGGGCAATCTGAACAGCAACCGGTATATCCATGAAGTTCTACAGCCCGAAGCTGTTCCCTTCCTTCAAAGCTTGCCAGGCGCTGTATTTCAACAGGACAATGCCCGCCCTCATACTGCTCGGATTGTTAAATCCTTCTTTGCAGCGCAGCAGGTACAGCTTCTTCCTTGGCCTGCGTGTTCCCCGGATATGTCGCCAATTGAACATGTGTGGGATGTCATTGGTCGGCGTCTTGCTCGTGATCCTCGTCCTGTTGCGTCTGCAGATGAATTTTGGGTATGCGTACAAACGATATGGAATGCTCTTCCTCAGTCAGACATTCAAACTTTGTTTGACTCCATGCCACGTCGTGTAGCAGCACTTATTGCAACGCGTGGTGGCCACACAAAATACTGATTCTGATCTCTTGTTCTTGTTTGTTTGCTTTGAACATTTAATCATTTATTTGTACCACTACCACTCAACTGTGTATTAAATTGCATTCAATTATGACGATTCCTTCTTGGTGTTGCAATTTTCACAAACGTGAGTGTAGATTAAAAACCTTTATTAGGAGGTAACTATAAAAATAACTAAAAATTCATTAGAGGAACACCCAAAGAAAAATCCAACAGAATTCTGATAACCCATGGCTACTTAACTCTGTGAGTGGCATGGCTTTCTGAATCTCGTGAAGATCCTTATTTAAACAACATTTATTAGCTAAACTTTGCATAATTATTAGTCTGTTTTCATAAACTTCCATTTATTAATAAGATGATATTTACATCTTTAAAAAAAGAGAAGCAAAATATTTTAAATTTTAAACGGTACTATTCAGTTTTTGGGACCGTAAAAAAATTGCAGCGAAAATGTGTGCGCAAAAGCGCCAAATCTACCAAACGCACTCATTTGACAGCGCGCCAAATCTAGCGTATGCGCTGATTTCAGATTGCGTAAGTTTATATAGTTCTATATTTCTTAAGCCGCCATTGAAATACTAGTTTAATTTTTAAATCCTTTTTTGATTTAAAATTCTTTTTTGATATCCTATGGATTTAACAATTTGGGAATTGCTCATGACGAAAAGTGTGCAATAGAATTTTGGGTAAAGTGCAGAATCACCCACTGCTTGACGCGTTTTTAAGAATCGCACATACCCATGGACATATCCACCTATTTTTACTTTTTTAAACAAAATTCCCAGAATTGCACAAAAATGGCACTGTGCACATTTCACTTAAAAAGTAAAATTTACAAAAATTCAATTGTTTTTGCCTTTGTAAAAAGCAGTAAACAAATAAGTGGGCGATTCTGTACTTTACCGAGAATGTTTTCAAAGAAAAGGCATCATTCATTATAGAAAATTACGTTTGAATAACCAATGAGACGAAACTATGCTTTAGCGATAACTCAGTAGCGAAATAGCAATGCAGGCATCCATTCAGTTATGTTTAGCAATTTTTATATAAATTATAATAATGATATAAAATAGTTATTTACTCTTATGCTTTCATTCAGTCATGTTTAGCCTTTTTATATAAATTATAATAATAAAAAAAGTAGGTTAAAATGCGGTTTAGCCCACTGCTTGGCGATTGTTTTTCAATGGGCAATAAACGTGCCAACATGGCTAACCCGATGTTTTGAAGCTGTGTTGTTATTCTGTTGCCACTAAATGCTATCACCCTGTGTTATATTTAAAGAAATTAAATATTGAAAAATCTGCATAAATGTTTCTCGCATTGTGATAAAACAACGGTACCTAGAGCCATCAACTTTTGAATAACATACGTTTCCAACCTAATATGGGCATTAGGAAGCCCAAACTTGGAATTTTTTTAATTATCTGATTGATATTTTGTAAAACTTGAACGAAATCTTTATTAGCAGACTCAAAGATTTCAAAGCGAGCAACTGCAACACAGTACGGCGGGGGAAAAAAAAAAAAAAAAAAACATTTTTACAAGCAGAGCGCAAAACTTTGTATCAGAAATTCTAAAGATATCATTTTAAAATTATTTTGCGATATTGCTGTTGAACTGAATTTTATGGTTTAAGAGTAAAGAACATTATATGATAAAGAAATGTAACGCACAAAAAGTTAAAAAAAAAGTCATTTGGGCGTAATGTAAAATCTAAAAGCTTTCATTATTTTTATTTTATTTTATTTATTTTTTTTACTTGTTAATTCTGTTGCGGTTTGAATGTTCTTTATGTGGTTTCTTTTTTTAATCGAGTGTTTTTCTTTTTTTCTGCATATATTACGGAAACAGCGTATAAACGTTTGTAAATTTATTCAAAGATGCGGGGGGATCCAAAAGGGTTTCCCCGATATAGATTCATATATAAAACCCCTCAAAAAGACTTTACATTTTTCTTGAAAAAGGGTAAGTGAAAAAATTTTTCTTGTATGGTTCGTTTTAAAGTTGGTTATTTTAATATTTTGTATTTCGTTTTGGCTCAATCCTAGAAGATTGGAAAAGCTAACGCTGTGCAATTCTCTGATGTTTTTTTTAAGTGAAAATAGATCGATGTGCACATGGGCAAAGCCAATGCGGTGCGCAATGCCGAGGTTGGTGTGATGCCGAGTTTGTGCAATTCTGGGATGTTTTTTTAAGTGAAAATAGATCGATGTGCACATGGGCAAAGCCAATGTGGTGCGCAATGCCGAGTTTGTGCAATTCTGGTATGTTTTTTTTAAGTGAAAATAGATCGATGTGCACATGGGCAAAGCCAATGTGGTGCGAGATGTTGAGTTTGTGCAATTCTGGGATGTTTTTTTAAGTGAAAATAGATCGATGTGCACATGGGCAAAGCCAATGTGGTGCGAGATGTTGAGTTTGTGCAATTCTGGGATGTTTTTTTAAGTGAAAATAGATCGATGTGCACATGGGAAAAGCCAATGTAGTGCACAATGCCGAGTTTGTGCAATTCTGGAAATTTTTTTAAGTGAAAATAGATTGATGTGCAAATGGGCAAAGCCAATGTGGTGTGCGATGCCGAGTTTGTGCAATTCTGGGATGTTTTTTTAAGTGAAAATAAATCGATGTGCACATGGGCAAAGCCAGTGTGGTGCGCAATGCCGAGTTTGTGCAATTCTGGGATATTTTTTTTAAGTGAAAATAGATCGATGTGTACATGGGAAAAGCCAATGTTTCAAATTGTGGCCAACAAATATTATCGCCCTGTATTATATTTAAAGGAATTAAAACGATTAAAAATCTTCATAAATATATGTACGTTTCCCTCATTTTGATAAAACAACGGTACCTAGAAACATCAAATTTAGAATAACGTCATCCTCCTGCGAATATGGGCATCTGGAAGCCCAAATTTGGAATTTGTTTTATTATCGTTTTCATATTTTGTAAATTTCAAAGCAAGCAATGACAATGCTCTACAGATAAAAACATTTTCATCTCCAGGGCGCGAGACTGTGTATCAGAAAATCTAAAGATATGCTTATTTTAAAATTATTTTGTGATATTGCTGTTGAACTGAATTTTACGGTTTAAGTGCGAAGAACATGATATTTAATTAATAAAGGTAACACGCAGTGTTAAAAAAATGCACCTTTGGGGCGTAATGTAAAATCTTAAATTTCAGATTTTATTTTGTTTTTTAATTTCATTATATTTGTTGTCTTTTTTTTAACTTCCTATCGTTGACAATATTACCTATCATAACTTTAGATATCGAAAAGCCATAGCTTTCACAGCGCTTTTTAATAACTAGATACATATAAATTACTTCGGAGAGAGCACAAATGTCCGAAGACAAATTGTCAATTAGCAGACCATAATTTATGCTTTCAAAACTATACTTGCAGTTAAAAAGAATTTCCAAGCAGACGATTTCTTTTAGAATTTTTACTTCGTAATTTGAGCAGTTAATTCATTTGCCGTTTGAATGTTCTTATGTGGTAGTTATCAATCGAGTGGTTTTTATCTGTGTGTTTTTCCATTTTTCTGCATAATATTTCGTTAAATATACAATCGCTATGGATTTATCTGTGATGCTGAGAGAGGTGAGTGAATGTACATGTAAATTTATTACTTTATTGGAAATGCAAGGGAAACGTGCCGTCATTGTCAAAAAGACTTTTTATTTTCCTGAAAAGGGTAAGTGAAATTTTCTTTTTAAAATTGCTTATTTTTAATATTTTCTTAAATTCTTAATTAATTAAATTCTTTCATTGTGAGAAATTAGATTTTTTAAATTTATTAATGTGTAGAATTCTAATACGAAAGTATAGAACGTGGTTTAGGAATTTAAGAAACATGTAAATGAAAGCTGTGTATGATGTTGATATTCAATAATAAATATTTTCCCTTTATTAATATAAAGCTTAAAAATTTTTAGAAAATAATGAAGATTATTTACTTACTAGTATGTAAGAGATAGTGTCGTTACGTAGCAATAAGGTAATTTTGTAAAGATGATAAAGTTAAAATGTTCCACAATATGAAATTAAAATTTTAAAAAATCTGTTTTTATTTGTATAAATACTAAAGCTTAAAAATATTCACCCTGTATGAGAGACTGCGACGTTGTTTACAGTTTTAATAACTGTTACAATTCACTTACCGTATTTAATAGTTTGAAATACAAAAAATTTACTATACTTATTTCTACGTCTGTAGAGAATACATTGTAACGTCACAATCTTAGTCCCACCCATTTATGAACGTCACATAGCTCTGCCTTCGCAACTTTGTTTATACAACGTTTACTGGCGATTTTTAAAAAATCGCCGCTACTGAAAATCACCAAGCAGTGGGCTAAAGCACATTTTCACCAAAAAGTATTATATGAAATTAACCTTTCATCTAAATTAAAACATTAATCTTAAATATTTATTTACTATTATACTTCCTTTCTTGCATTAGAGTTGCCGCAATTATTTTTGACAGCACTGGCATCAACAATAGTTTGGCGATTTTTTACGCCCTTAAAACTGAATAGTACCTTTTAAGCTAATATACACCAAATGGCCAAAAAATTTCAAGCGGTCATGCACTCAGGGGGTAAATTTACAAATGCCTGTAATCTGTACATGAAAGGTACAGTCAGTCTCATTAAGATAATCAAATAACTAATTATTACAAAGTTGACAAGATGTTACAAATACGGAATACTAAAACAGAAATCCAATTAAGATATACAGTATAATTATTAGAAAGCTGACAAGATGTTACAAATATGAAATACTACAACAGAAATCCAATTAAAATATACAGTAAAATTATTCTTACTTAACCAGATTTATAAAATAATGATAGGTACTTACAGTAGAACGCCTTTGAACATTAGGATGCTCCCGATAAAAATTCTTTTGAAATGGCAAAAGTTTAGACATATCCCATCGGGGGCGGCGCAATTTCTCACCAGGCTGTTTCCCTTTCAAAGAACCACGTCCACCTCCACCTCCTCCAAAGCCACCACCTCTGGGACCACCAGCTCCACCACCCCGGCGACTACCAAAGCTATTCCGATCACCACCACTATAAAGATTAAAAATCTACACTCAGTTCACATTACATATAAAAATTTTCAGTTACCGGAACAGAAGCTTTAATTTACAATATCAAATTTTGTAAAAATTTCACGCTTCAAACGTCTTTGCAACATTCTAACAATTATAAAATAATACATTAATCTAAATTAAATGAAAAAAAAAAAAGAACTGTAAAACGAGTAGCACTAATAAAAAACAACACTCCCGGTGTTGGGATTCCCAATGAGAAGCCTAGTTTACAACCCTCAAACCTTCAACCAAATTCAATTAGCTAATGACCTTAAAACTTCAATCTTTTCTTATTTTTCAGCAGATAAATCATATTCATTTTACAATTCTATTCTCTATTTTATTTTATTTTATTTAATGTTTGGGAAAAATCAGGAAGTACAAGATCATGAGCTATCTTATAGGACTAAATCAAGATTACACACTAGATTATCAAGAGTCAAGTATATTTAGCCATCTTCTTCCAATCATTAAAAAAGCAAATTTTTGAGAAACTAATATATACTCTTAAATCTGAAATGGCAAATCCTGTGTTAACATTTAAGAACAGTTGCAAAAAGTTTTGTCAAAAACCCGACAAAACCCCGTGATGATCGAAACCTTGATTAACAGAGTAAATTTTAAAACATGACAATTGTTTTCAACTTTTTTTTGTGTATTTATTTTAAATTTCAAAAATAAATATTAATATTAGTATTTTAACAAATTCCTTAGCATGTAAATAAAACTTGTTTCTTCCAATTCAAAAATACTTAACAAAGATTTTATTTCATAATAAAAGTAATGAAGAATTAATGAAACTCAAAAAGTACATGCATGCAAAATTTATGAACAATGAGAATTTCTAAATAGTCCTATAACCGGAAGCACTTCTGCAGAGAACCCAGTAAATGTAAACATCACCAACTATGGCGATAATAGTTCAAACCTGGTATTGCGTGTATTTAATTATGGCAAAGCACACTAGGGCTATCTGCCTAAGGGAAGGGATGCCTTCGTGGAGGACTTTCTAAGGGAAACTGGCTCATATACACGTTACACATGGGGAAAACCACGAAAACACCCATGCAGCCAGCCCGTTCGCGGGATTCGAACCTCGGACCGAACTACCAGTGTTCAGCGACTTTACCGCTCACCCGTTGGTGGGCCTTTCAAACCTGGTAACTTACTGGATATATCCTATTCGCTTCTTCGAAGTTTGCAACCATTCTTCTTGCATTCATTTTTGTTGAATTATCACTGTAGTTGTTCGCATTTGCAGATTTATATTATTCTTCTCTTATTTATTATATTTTTTTCTGAATTTTTTAACAACGAATAGATAGAAATATTTTCGTAGATAGATGCCAGCTCTCGGTTCGGGATGAAAGGAAGAAAATACGGCGGGAGGGGTGAATGCTAATTTGTAACACGGCTGTTCACGTTGTGTTCTTAATTATTAACAGCTTTAAGAACCATGAGGTTTCCAACTTCTATAATAATTTGTTTTTGTAGGACGCGAAAATGTGCATTATGAGAATATCGCCAAGTTACCATAATCCGAAGATTAACCGAATAAATCAATTTTTATGCCGTAAAATTTTAACAAGATAACATATTATTAATGCTTTTCGGTACTTTTCCGTTTCGTCGGCGCAAATCTCGCCAATCTGACTTTGTCGGCGACAATATACAGTATACACACAAAAAATGTTAACAAATGTTAGTTCTAAGAATTTTTTATTTTTGAAGGCATAAACATTTTAATATGGTTTATAATTTTGTAAAAAGCCAATAAATTTGTAAAAAGACATTAAGAATTTACTATGCTATCCTGGTTCAACATCCTGATTCGCCGGTTCGTATAACGTGACCCCAAGTGATCTCATCTCACATAAACTACGATACAAAAACATAATTCTCTCAGTAATTATCTACATTAATTTAAAGTTAAATCTTAATTTTGAATACAAGTTTAAATGCAAGAATTATTTCAATTCGTACGAATAGCTTACTGAGAAATTATATAAAACCGTAGTGCTTTACTTCGCTAGTGCATTCTCATTAGAATTGATAAATTTAACACTTGATTTTGCATTTCTATATTTTCGCCTTCGGGTGAGTGGTGTAATTGCATCCTAATCGACTTAATTACCGCGAATGCTCTTGGGGCATAAAATTTGATTATCTTTGTAAATATTCTATGCAGTTGTATGCCAGTATTGAAAGAAACCAATCTGGTAAGAAATGGCTGCGACTTGTTTTGAAAATGAGGTGTAAAAGGTTACCAGCGAAGCTATTCCCTTTGGCATTAGTTGTACCATTATTGGCGACTTTATCGTTTGCGCCGGCAAAACGGAAAAGTACCTGCTTTTCTAACAATAACCTTTCAGATGATGGCAGGTGTGACATAAATAGATGATTAAATTGAAAGGAAAACTATTATTGATTATCTAAGATAGCAGAATAGTTTGATGCATCAAAATTAGCAAACCACTGCTGGTGTAAAGAATAATTTGTTTTCTGTGTTAACAGGAATTTAAGACAATTTTTTTCGTATATCACGTTTAACCTGTTAATATGAGTATATTAATACTAATTTATATTTTTTAAATGAATTTTTATTTCCGTTATAAATGCTTATATATTGTCTTACGCTTAATATATTATTTTCTGTGCTAACTTGAATCTAATACAAATTTATTTTCGTATATCACGTTTAACCGGTTAGTTTTACATCTACATGTGTATTATCTGTGAATTTTTACTACCATATGCTTAATATATTGTTTTGTCTGCTAACTTGAATTTACATGCACTAAAAATCACGTTTACGGCTCGGCTCATTGTCGATGAACGGCGTGCTCTGCGAGTAAAAATGCAATGGCACCAACGGGTTCTCTGCGGATGAAAACCCCTATAACCCTTATCAGACATCACACAATCATGCACTTTTCATCAATGATATCTACAGGAAAAGCATCAAGACTTTGCTGACTTTAAAAACTAAGACTTTAAAAACAAGGCTTTAAAAATTAAGTATTTTCTATATTCAACCATTTCTAACCAACTTGAAAAATGCCTTCACATCCTTTTTTCTATCGGCTAAAGTACAGAATCGCCCACTTATTTGTTTGGCGCTTTTCACAAGAGTAAGAAGAATTAGATTTTTGTCAATTTTCTTTTACCTTTTTAAGTGAAAATAGGTCGATGTGTACATGGATAAAGTCAAGAGTGTGCGCAATGCCGTTTTCGTGCAATTCTGGGATATTTTTTTGGTTAATCTTTGGATTATGGTAACTTGTTGATTTTTTGTCGAAAATCTGGCGACCCACCCTGCTACAGCAACCTGCTAGTTTTGTTTTGGACAGCATTTTGTTTTCACAAAGTAAAGGCATTTTTTTTTAACTCAACATTTTTTCTAACAATCTGCTAGCCGAATTACTCTTATACTAGAACTTTTATGGAACAAAAATGCTTAATCATGACGATGATTAGGAGCGAAATTGGGAGAAAGTGCAGAATCGCAAACTTCTTGCGCATTTTTAAGAATTGCACATACACGGTACCATCCATGTACACGTCGACCTATTTTCACTTAAAAAAAATCCCAGAATTGCACAAAAATGGCATTGCGCACACTCTTGACTTTATCCATGTACACTGCTAAAGTCCTAGCTAGTAACCTTTATCGCCTTACCAAAATGTCGCCAAACTACCTGTTACCATATTCCAAAGATTAGCCGTTTTTTTAAGTGAAAATAGGTTGACGTGTGCACGGATACCGAGTATGTCCAATTCTTAAAAACACGTCAAGCAGTGGGCGATTCTGCACTTTTCCCCTTTTTATCTTTCTACTCATGCCCGTATAGTATGTTGTTTGGTGTCATACTATTTTCACCACTTTCACTCTTTAATCAATATAATAATCACAATGCACAACACTAAAGCCATGAAATGACCTATGTCTGATAAAAGACACCTGTCACTAATATATGAATATTACCAACTTTCGTTGTGTCTTTTAGAATATTACATTTTCCCAGTGATTTCTGAAAGGTAAATTCCAGCTTAGCAGAAACCTTGGATTACAGAGGCTCAATCAATAGATTCTACCATAGCCTTTGGAAAAATTTACAGATCAGAATATCACATTCATCTTATAACTCTTTTTGCTTGATTGGAGAATGTGTTATTCCTGGTACCTTCATTATTTTCAGTGAACTACTGAGTAAATTTTATCATAAAATCATTAACCATTTCATGAATAAATGATTACACAAATTGACTAATAACCACAATATGGAACTAAAATTATTAAGAAGTTATTGCTGAAAAGTATAAAATTTTAAATCAAGCAAAATTATTTGCCTACTTTCACATTTGTTACTGATGCGCATCTCTTCAATTTGAGTATGAAACTGCTCAGTGAATTTCTGACAACTGATATACTGTTTAAAAATGAACATTTTTGAACATATGAAGTAGCAAAATTTTGCAGATTTTACAATAAACAACATTAACTTAGCATAATTCTGGATGTGACTGATTTATTAACTGAGACTTGAAAATAGAAGAGATGCTTTTACACCAAAAATGGTAAAATATTTACAGAATTAATTTACACATATAAATGACAGTAATAACCCAGATTTTTAAGTCAAAAGGATTGAAAATTTATTTATTTTTTACATGGAAGAGATACAGAATTACTTAATAAGTTAACAGTAAACTTAGGTTTAAATTTGAGATTCTTCACTTTACCTACCCGCTACTGTACAGAAACAGAAACATGCATATTTGGTAGAACAAAAAAATTCAGCCGTGAATTTTTACATCGCTCCAATTATATACTGAATTTAGTAAAGAAAGAAGAAAAGCATAAAATATTACAATTGTATTCAAAGACTACCATTTAACACTAATCATATAGCCGCTTCTGGCATAATCAATAAATAACAGCAATCACACATGTGCTATTAATCCTTTAATACATAAGAGATATCAACATTTTATTTTATAGAAAATGATCTGTTTTTAATACATCAACCACAAATTAATCCATCGCAAATACAAGGTCAATTAGGTTTAACATTTCCGAATATGATGAGTAATATTGAGAAAGTTATTTTAGTAAACACATAATAAGAATAGTAAGAATTTTGAACTAAACTCACCCTCTGCGTCCCATTCTATCTCTGTTTGCCATTACTATTTATAAAATGGGGCTTAGGATATAAATACTAAGGAATATAATACTCTACTTAACTTAGCACATTTAACAGTAATGGCGTAGAAACGTAAAGAAAAATCTAGGGATGACGGCAACATAACTGTATTCTTGCGCAGGGATACATTAGCTTCATAATAAATATTTTGTTGTTTGTTAAATAAATAAAATGATTTAATACATTTATTCTTATATTAACATGATGGATATTTTGATGGGGGAAATGTACTGCAAAGAAAACTGAAAATTAATTATAAGCTTAGAACTATATTGCATGCGAAGTAATATTGGTGAGATAAGAACACAATCGGCAAATTGCTCACTGTAGTAGGTTGGTGCGTACCTGTACACTTCTAACCCATGCAAATAAATAATGATAAAAATTTATCAATATGTTTTTAAAATAGTGAGAGGGAAAACCGTTATTTAATATTTAATGGAATGATGTAAATATTAGAATTGTGTTTGCAATATTCCTGTGAATTTAATTTTGAATATTCTTTTATAGAGGGCAGGTCACATGTAACTTTGAGAAGATCAGCAGTAAAAACTCTTTTTCGCTTGTTATCTGAATCCAAATTCCTTTTGTTTTTCTAGAAAAATCACCTTGTGAAATCGATAAACGTTTATCCTAAAACTATTTTATATTAGATTTGTCAGAAATGTAATATAGCCCTCCTATTTTTAATGTCAAAAACAAATAGTAATTAAAAAAAATAAATAAAATACACGGTTTCTTCATGCAATTCTTATCATTAATAATATCAGCTCCAGTAAATTGTAATTCTAGCCGAAGTGCTGAGCCTTAAATTAGAGAGCTCCGGCATATAACTCAATCACATTTCTTGCATGGTATTAACTTTCTTTTATGTAAATGAGCCATAATTTCAGCAGAAAATACTTTTGATCTCGAAAGTTTTATTATCCCAAAAGGAACGTTACTCCCGAATGAGATGTCAGTCTCGAAACGGCATTTTGAGTTGAATCATTTGAAAAAGGTGTGCAACTTTCCAAATTGTTGCCACCAAACATTATAGCTCTGTTATTGAAGAAATTAAATATAAAGTAACATATGTAATTAAATACATATTTGAAGAAATTAAATAAGAAGAAGGATCTACATGAATATATGCATGTTGTGGAAATTATTTTGATTAATTGATAGATGGTGCTAGTGTCGCGTGTTAAACGAGACGAGACTCTCCACCGGCAGCTCGGTAGATAAAGATATACTAGATGCTTCGCACACTAGTTGATCACTTCAGTTCCTATTTAAAAGATTTCGATTTTCGATTGGAAAAATATATAGATCTTTATTAACCACTGTTATACTGAACCACCGAATGCTGTAATTAATGATGTTGTTGCGTTTTTCTTTTCTCCTTCAGTTCGTACGGGGTTCGTGTGGATTTGCAGTAAATAACGAAGACACTTGATGAAGTATAGAAACACTCTTTATTTGCCAGTATAGTCAGGACAGCTCCAAAACACGCTTTACAGTCGTCGATGATCTACTGTAAACACGCTGATACGATCCGCGACACAGCCTTCAGGTTATCAGTCTATAACGGTAGAGATGTGGAGCAATTCATAACGGAGGTGATGAGGCTGTACAACTCCGACGTTAGTTTCCCCCTCACCCCCGCTAACTGTGATTGGACTTGATCCAAAAAAAAAAAAAAAAAAAAGAAGGAGAAACATTCTCTCCTTGTATGACTCACTTCTCGCGTTATGCAATGGACAGTAAACAACGCTTGTAATCATCGCTATATTTTTTTTTCTTCATATACCTAATAAATATGTTATTTTGTGTTTGCTAATATAATGATCGTGTTCCTTACATCGGCAGTTTGGATTACACTTTATTAAGGTAAGAACTTTAATTCTGTTTTATTCATCTGCTCGTCTCGATTTAGCGAAGTTGTAACAGTAAACAAAAATGAACCACGAATACCTTCAAAAGATTATGAGACCGAAAATATGTTTACTTCAACTAAACGCATGAAATATATCGAGATAAGCCATTAAGAATAAAAAACAGAAAAGATACCTTGCCATAAATTATCGCTGGATAATCCGAAAAAAGGAAAAGCCAAGCCTGTCTTCAAAAGCGAAACAAAACTGCATAGTTGCGTACTGCGCATTCGAAATAGAGAAGCAGAAATGGCTACTAGCTGCGAAAATAAATATTCGATCATGAAACTAAACAATAACAACTATCCAGTATGGAAATACAAACTTGAAATGATCCTGAAAAAGGAAAATTTATGGGATTTAATAGCAGATGATACACCAAAAGAAATAAACGTCGAATGAAGAAAACGAGATGAACAAGCACAAGCTACACCATTAGTTTACTCGTAGAAGACAACCAAACCTTACACATAAGAAATAAAACGACAGCCAAAGAAATATGAAATGAATTAAAGAAAATACATGAAAGAAAGAATCTTTCCAGTAAACTTTACCTTCTGAGAAAGCTGTATACTATAAAATTATGAGGGTACACTTTTAGCTATTAGAAACTATTTATTTACAATCTTAGAATGTATAATCACAGAGACTGCAATACCAGCATAGTTCTATTTTCAAATCTGTATCCAAAGTGTTGCCAATTACAAGTTACTAAACATTAAATGTTACCATTTACAAATTATTAAATATTACATCTTCCGTTTTTTTAAAGAGTTCAAAAGTTTTAACAGTCTAAAATCAGTCAAAGTACCTTGCCGGCTTTCTAATCAGTCTCCCACTTCTAGTTCTTAGCTCACCGTTCCTTGTTTCTGAGTTAGCAGAGTTTGGTAGTTGATCTTCTAAACTTTGCCCTTGAGAATATCTGGAATCATATCCTTTTACATCTGTTTTCTGTGTATTAACTCCTTGTTCTGTTCCTCTGATATTCTCATCAACAGCTGAACTGTTTCCTCTAATATCTTTTCTATTTCTTCTCAATACTGATCCACGTGATCTAAGTATATATGATCTAGGCGTCTTATGCACTTCTTCTACAACTGCTGGTTTCCAGCGATTATCTTGATATACCCGAACACAATCTCCTTTATTTAGCAATGGTAATGTTTTTGTATGACGATCATAATATAACTTCTGTTTAGTTCTTTCTTGGTTGATTTTTTCTTTTACATTTCTCACAACTTGAGGTTTAAGTAATTCTTCAGATGTAGGAAGAATCGTTCTTGATCTTCTACTCATAAGTCGTTGAGCTGGTGATCCTAGCATTTCATTAGTTGGAGTGTTCCTGTGAGCTAACGATGCTAAATAAGGATCAGCATGATCTGCTTGAGCTTTCTTTAACAATTTCTTCGCCGTTTGTACTGAACGCTCTGCTAATCCGTTCGACTGTGGATGGTATGGACTGCTTGTTATATGTTTAAATTGGTATTTCTTTTCAAATTCTGAAAATTCTTTACTTGCAAACTGAGGTCCATTATCAGATATCACTATCAATGGTATACAGTATCTTGCAAAATGAGATTTCATGTAACTGATCACTGTCTGACTTCGAGTATCCGGTAGTTTAGAGATTTCAAAAAAGTTGGAATAGTAATCTACAATTAATAAATATACATCTTTGTTAATCTCAATAAATCTGTCGCAACTTTATACAAGGTAATTGGGAATTTCATGTGGTATCATAGGCTCTCTTATGTTTTTGTTCTGGTATTCATTACATATAGAACATTTTGAAATTTTATCTTCTATCTGCTTGTTCATAAATGGCCAAAACAAAACATCTCTAGCTCTTTTCTTACATTTTTCTATACCAAAATGACCCTCATGAATTAAATTTAACATTTCCTTTTGCATAGATAAAGGAATAATTACCCTTCCTCCTTTGAAAAATAAATCATTTTCCATTGTCAACTCATCTCTGTAGTCCCAAAATACTTTGACTTGAGGTTCTACCTGATGTTTCCTTTCTGGCCAGCCTCTCAAAATATATTTCTTTAAGTACTGTAGTGTAGCATCACATTCACTTTCTTTCTTTAATTCATAAATTTTGTCATCAGATGCTGGAATCAGTGTACAAATTTCGGTATCTTCATCATTATCTTCTTCTGTTGTATTCAAATATGCTCTACTCAAAGTGTCTGCTATTAATAAGTCTTTCCCCTTTCTGTATCGTACATCTAGATCATATTTTTGTAAATTTAACAGCATTCTTTGCAATCGCTGTGGTGCTTTAAAAAGAGGTTTCTTAGTTATGCTTTCTAATGGTCGATGATCAGTTTCAACTGTAATACGTTTGCCATATATATATTGATGAAATTTAGAACATCCAAAAGTAATAGCTATATTGTTAATAAAGTTCTGAAGCTTTTTTTCTATCTGAGCATAATTTTTCTGACTTTTTGTTAGAGCTCTGGAAGCATAAGCAATTGGTTGGTTTTCTTGTAGTAAAACAGCACCTAATCCTTCAGAACTTGCATCTACTGAAAGAGTTACATCCTTATAACATCATAGAATTTTAATACGGGTGCTTTTGCAATCAGTTCTTTAAGTGTTTCGAAAGCTTTTGATGCTTTTCAGTCCAGTGCCAGAGGACATTTTTCTCAAGTAACTGTCTTAATGGTGCAGTAATAGTAGTTAAGTTAGGAATAAATTTGGCTAAATAATTAATCATTCCCAAAATCTTTGTAGCGAAGGCACATCTGTAGGTTCTGGCATTTTTAACAATTGCTTCCACTTTAAAAAAATCAGGTTTTAGTCCATTTTCACTTAACTCGTGTCCTATATAATTCACACGATTAACTTTTATTTTACATTTAGCCTTATTGAACTTCAAATTATTTTCTCGTGCTCTCTGGAGTACTTTTTTAAGTCGTAGCTCATGTTCCTCTTCATTAGATCCCCATATTAAGATATCATGTATAATACATTCAACGCCTTCTAGACCTTCTATTATTTGGCTTAATTTTCTTTGGCAAATTTCTGGAGCTGAACATATGCCAAAAGGTGTATTGAATGTACACAAATTACTACTTTCTTCGTCAAGCTGGATTTGCCAAAAAGCACTATTAGCATCTAAAACAGAAAAATATTTTTGCGTTAGGCGTTCTAGTGACAACTTCGTCAATGGTT